CTTCCAACTAGTGGCTAAAGTTGCAGACTGCTAAATGCTATACAGATAGATAATAATAATTTTCTGACTTCATGAAATTGGTATGAATCCATACTATGATAACTGTATTAAAGGACAGACATTACTAATACTTAACAACATCACCTATATGGTAAAAGTTGAGTGACTGTTGAATCCGATTCCTGAAGAACATTGGAAATGGATGGCCTGATTCCAGAGAAGCACCCACTTTTAAAATAGGACACAAACATCTGACTTCCCTGTGTAAAGGCAATGGAGTAGAAAATGCCTGTACAATATCTGTGGCCGCAGCTAGGTCTAAGACTTTTCTTTCCATTTCAGGGAGTTGTCTACGGGTTTTGGAGACAAAGCCGCTGTTAAAAAGGTCTGAATCCATCATAGCAGAGAAAAGCATGGCTCTGTTACATTTATTTAGAGTCTCCAATACAGGATCTGCAAATTGAAAAATAATCATATGTATATAGAATTGAATCATGTCATGTTTTTGTCTCAACGCAACACTCAGCATTATGTTTATAATTAGGCTTGTGACAGTAGTTTGTTTGTAATCTATTATATTAACTTAATCGAAGATATCATTAAATATTGTTTATATTAATTTCGGCAAAATCGTGATTGAACTCATCTTTTTGAGTTAACAGACTATAAAAGCCCAGTTTCCATTCTTGCCAAACTAGGCTAGAATTTGCTTTTAAGAGTTATGGCCCTTCTATGTCCCTCCCAAACAGCAATCTTAACAGCAGTTTACAAACCACATGTCGATTTTGTAATGCAATTTTGATTGGACTATGCATAGACTCGTAGTCCAGCCAAAACATAACTTAGAATTTCCAGCCTAGTTTGGCAAGGGTGGAAGCTGGACTTTTAAAGTAAGTTAACTCCCTTGCCTAGGAAAGATGGTGTGAACTGATCAGCAGATCGCACTAAACTCACCATTATTTACATTAACTCTACTGACCCCTTAAAATGAACATGAGGAGTTAGAGACACAATGTATTTCTATCACAGCATTACAAATTCTTCTCAGTTATGATTTTGGGTATTTTTTAAAGTGAATAACCGATAGATAAGGAAGAAAATGTGGGATGTACAGCTGATTGCTATTTCAGGCTTATTTTTTTAAGAGACAATTACACACAGTAATATTAATCTCATTATCTAAAACAATGCCTAGCATACAGTAAATATATAAATATTAAATCATTATCTCCAGTGATTTTCCTGCAAATTTCACATTTGCATTGGCCAAGTTTGCAAATGGCAAAACAAGCACACAAACTCCTCAGAATCTGCCACCATGATCCAAACAGGAGATGTGCAATAGATCAGTGCTCATGTAACATGATGTAAAGAGAAGTAACTCTGCACTCTATTTTATCAGGTTTATCCTAGTATTGCAATATTTCACTGCTGAGGTTTGTGTTCGAGACACGGAATATTAACTGATGTTTTTTTAATGAAAAAAACCGCCCCGCAATGTTCAACCATAGCAGTTTGAGTTGTCATTACAATTTAAAAGATACAACAGCAGTCTAAGGCCACTATAACTTAATGACATGTTAAATCTGAATGGTTTTTTTTGTTAACAGGTACTTTGGGATTTATTTTTTTAATGTAATACAGGTTAAAAATATAGAAATAATTGTGCAAAATGTTTTACGTTAGATGCAAATAAACAAGGAAAACGTTACTTTACCTCAAGATGGTCCAATCAAAACAGTTGAAAGAGTACTTGGTCCACCAAGCTCTGGCCGTGTCGTAGGATGTCCGCTAACAGAGACAATGCCACTCTGAAACAAATTTAGAAAATTAATAAGGTATGGCACAGGAAGATAGGTTTGTGGAAATCTAAACACAATTATCTTGCTCTGGCAGCACAGATACGTTTACTGCAGTTAGGTGAGTGAGTGAGGGGGTGAGGTTTTACGCCACTTTTAGCAATATTCCAGCAATATCATGTCTGGGGACACCAGAAATGGGCTTCACACATTGTACCCATGTCGGGAATAGAACTCGGGTCTTCGGCGTGACGAGCTAACGCTTTAACCTCTAGGCTACCTGACCGCCCCACTGCAGCTAGGTCCGGACAAGACAATACAGTGACTGACAATACTAGACCCATGCCTTGGGGTATTGATGATACCAAATAAACCAAATAACTAACCATGATCACTATGGCTGTCACATTTCAGCGATGTATTTCAAATTGCTACAGGACAATATGACCCATATGATACACCAACCTATATTTTCATTTAATGTCAGTTATACTATGATACTGTAGGAATAAATTAACCAATCATACAAACACAAACCATTTGACATCAATGACATTTTGTTGTCTGTTGGGTGGTATGGAACATGAAGAATTCACACAAAATATAATGCGATTTGTATCATGTAGTGAATCAAACATGGCAATTAGTATTGTATCATGAAGTAGGTGTATCATGACACCCTTATGGATTTCCGGGTCCACTAAGTCGCTTGGTATGACAAGCTTAGGTTTATGGAGGCCTTTAGCCTATATCCATAGGCCTTATGACCTATTTTAATGACATGAAACAAAATGATACATTTGACATTCATATAGGTATTCATAATAAACCCCATTTTTGCCTGATAGGACAAAAAACGCAGCAAATGTTTGCAAATTGTGTTTCCATCAGAACCCACACCTCATATAAATTGGAATAACATCTGAAATATGTAGTTCTTTAATAATAGTAAACGTTTTGTAGCCGCCATGAATTTTGGGCGCCACCTGTCACGCGCGACTGCCTAGTAACGCAATGTACATGAAATAATATTACTTATGAGTCTGAACATAGTTAAATACATAAACCTTTGCGAGGAAATGCGAATAGGATATCAGTAAACCATATAACTGTACTTTAACACTGCATATAGTTAATACTGGTACAATTCTTACCGCCATTACTGCGTTGTAGATGTAAAGTGTCCTGACCTGGAACGAGAGAGAAAACGCAGAAAACAGTTGCTGAAAAGAATAATAGTATGCAAAATAAGTTACAGTAACAAACAAGAACAGCATACAACAACATCCAACAAAACGAATCCAACTCTTTAGAAGGCAAAGTGTCTAGACGCTACGCTAGAAATTTGATTTGCAGGTGAGCCGGAGAGACGCATGTGCTTCCAGCGATACTACGCGAACGATAACTGCAACCAGTTATCCCGCCGTGTTCGATGAAGGTGAAGGCTATATAGGCTAACTGTTTTCATAAATGCATTACTTTAGAATCCAAGAATGGTGTGGATATCTGGTTACAATAACAAGGTGGTAACTTGGAATAAACACCTAAAGTATAGAACAAAAACTTAATCCAACATATTCAGCTCTCATATGTGAGATTATGTAGCGTACTATTCGGCTGATTACACATGCAAGTGACCTCTGATGATAGGTCACTCACATTAACCAATGAAAACCACAGACACATATTTAGCTTATTACATATGCACGTGAACTCCTATGGAAGGTCACACATATATTAACACATATATGAACCAATGAAAACCATGCTTTTTTTAACTGTCATGCTCCTACTGTTACCATCTTATACTATGTTAAATCTTAACTATATGCTATTACCAATGCAAATGCCATACTTGTGTTTATATCTTAGATATTCCCAATGGCATACTAATGTGAATAGATTATATCAATTATGTTAACTTTATTACGTTGTTTACCCTTTGGAATATGCATTGTGGCTGAACTGGAATGTGTGAATACCCACTCGGGTAATGTACTAGTTCGGGTGTGTCGGGTATACTATATTCAATCATATGTAAACTGTTGTATTACGTTGTGTACCTTGGAATTTGTACCGTGACTAATGTTGTATGTATCTTGGGTAATGGTTCCATATCATGTTCATCTTATGTTCTTCCCACATATGTACTTCTGTAACTGGTTGTAAACATGCCCTAATAATTGATTGTAAGCATTATATTGTTGACTGATTACATAATGGATCTGTGGCTGTCTAATAAACTGACTGTTTATTCACTCAGGTCTTGTGTTGTTGTGTGGGTTGTTCGTGTATAGTGGTACCTCTGTTAAGCGAGTGATGTCCCTCGCTCGTTTTAATATATTTGCTGTTTTTGACGATAGTTGAAATACTGCTGTTGCATTGGCTGACTCTGACGATAGTTAAAATACTGATGTTGTACTGGCTGACTCGGCCGAAACAGTTGAAATATTGCTGTTGTTTTGGCTGACTCTGACGATATCTGAAATACTGCTGTTGTGTTGGCTCACTCGGACGATAATTGAAATACTGCTGTTGTATTGACTGACTCTGACGATAGTTGAAATACTGCTGTTGTATTGACTGACTCTGACGATAGTTAAAATACTGATGTTGTATTGACTGACTCTGACGACACATCTGAAATACGACTGTCGTATTGACTCACTCTGACGAAACAGCTGAAATGTTGCTGTTGTATTGGCTGACTCTGGCGACACAGTTAAAATACTGCTGTTGTACTCTTTATAACTAACCACCCATATTCCGTTAGTTGCCTCTTACACGACTAGCGTGGGTTGGTGAAGACGAATTCTAACAGTGATCTTCACAGGTACAGAGAGCATTTGGATGATTAGAAGTACTAAGTACATTTTGAGAGATTATTACCCGAATATATCAATATCGTAAATATCATATACGGTGAATACAAATGAATTACGACAGGCTTTGGGGGTTTACCACATCGAAAACCCTGTCCATTATATGAAAATATTTGATATATTTGTAATGCATAACATTCAAGACAAACATAACTATATGTTAGTTACGTGAAAATCTTCTTCCAGAACATCCCTGAATTTGTAGAAGTTTGTATTCAAAGGAAAGTCATTAAACTAATGATTAACTGCTGAAAATTATAGACAAACGGTTATTTTTTTGTGTGGTATGAAATGCTACGAACACAGTTATGGGCCTTGGTGTCACGTGAACGTTGTCCAGTAAAACGCCATCGCCGTCAACCGTATTTGTGAAAGTTTGCAAATGCGTAAAATGGATCGCAGGACGAGGCAACACCTCTTATATTTTGACGGAAATGCAGACGTAACGTATGTGTCGTGAAATTTAGTTTTCAAAATCTACATAATGGCTATTATGGAATCCGTCAGTTACGTTATCATCCAACGTCACCATATTTGAAGGATTCATTCACGGGAATTCGTTGCAAATTATGAATGAAATTTTCATTACACACGCATTCTACCTGTTCGAAAATGTATGTTTCATACAACTGGTCTATGAATTGTATTTCTCCACGTCACATAGGCATTAATGTTTCAATACCTGTATGTACATGTGCAAAATGTTCTTGATATGTATTTATAAAAGAAAATCTCATGGAGAAGAGGCCCCAGTCCCCTAACATCCATCAGGTGCAGGCTAAAACGGCACCTCAGCAAAACGTCCCCGATTTCTCGAGCGAAAACGGCACATCATTTGTCGAAAACGGCTACTAATTGTCAAAAATATATAGAATATATCCAGAATATTCTTACTGAAGTATTGTTCTGGTATTTGATACTGTAGATTGATGGAAGTTCAAGCCTTGCAAACAGTAGCAAGTTTTATAGATGCTGCAAACAAAAACTACTCAGAGATGCTCATACTTGGTGCGAACACACTACAAGAATTTCTGTCTTCAGGTAAAACTGAAATCGTACTATTTACCAGTGACCAAAATTGACACTTGTCCTAAAGTCCTTGCCAAACTACCGAAAATAAGGTATAATGACTCGCAGAAATTTGCTATTTTAAGAATGTTTGGTATCATTATAAGGACTAGTGAACTAAAAATGTTAGTTTCTATTGTTGTTTTCATATGTAATCTTAACTGACTTCATAGTGTCTGTGTGCATCCAGAGACTATATTGTACATTGGTCTCTTGTGCATTATAATGTTCAAACTGTATCATGGTTAAAAGTCCTGAATGGAAAGGGGATATTGGTGATTTAGAAAGAAGTTACTTTTGATGGCAAAACTAAACAAGATGTTGATGTAGCTGCCTCAAATTTCTTCTCTTTGTTTTCTTAGTTTTAGAATTTGTATGGCAGGATTTTTTTTTTTTTTCAATAAACTCTTTCTTTTCTCCATGTTTATGTTGGTATGAAATATGAATAATATATCATAATGTTCAATGTTGTGTATAGATCCATTTTATGAAACAACCGGCCGCAACTCATCGTCAGGAATGGAACGTTTAATGGACATTATGGTTAGAACTGCAAACTTTCACCAGCAGGCATGGTCTGAGGTGGATGGGCAAAGGCCGTTGGAGTAAGTATAGAAAACTTGATATATGACTGTGTTTTTTCTTCTCAACATTAATATGGCTAAATATTTCTTTGCGATCACTTTCTTTATTTTTCAACTACCATCTATGAAACTAGTACCCCTCTCCTAAATAAAAAACAACAACCCTTCTCTAAAACTCAAATGCAGGGTTCTACAAATGTTTATGAAAAATTGAGACTTTTGCTACTACTCAGAGTCTAATTAAATTCTGTTCGTTTGAGGAAGGTCAGCTAATGAAAGTCCATATTTTAACAGTAAAGTTTCTGAAACGGATGCCAAGAGACAAGATCATCATCATCATCATCATCATTATTATTATTATTATTATTATCATCAGTGTGGTGTATATTGATGTTGTATGTGTGTGTAAAGGAAGGAGGTAGATTCAGTATGGCTATTTGTATATTTTGTTTGTAGGAGGGAGGTTCTTCTCTATGAAGAGTTGAAGAGAAAGTCGAGTGAGTGCTGGAAGCAACACAGAAACCTGGAGCTCACCTGTGAAACTGGCCAGAAGGTGACTATATATATTTATAGCTAAAATGGATAGAATTATCAGTAAACCGCCCGCATGTTATCAAGAATCAGCGGGCCACTGTAACTTGATAATGCCCTCATATGGCTTGACGACGGGCCATTATCACGTCCGTTGTTGGGTGACGTCATAGGGTAGGCATAGGTGACGTCACGTTAAATAGTGACGTCATCTGGTTTGTTCTATGACGTTTCCATATTTGTAATAGTGGGTCAGTGACATTTGTGTTGATTGCAGTAAATGTTTCAAAACCGATATTGTTGTTTCTTTTTATTTGATACAAAATTCCATCCATATTAGCTATAATAACGGTAATGCTATTCTTCAGGGCATTATCATTTGCAGAAGCCCTCGGTCTTTTCAACTGCCCTCCTTCGTCGGGCAGTTAATGGAAGACCTCGGGCTTCTGCAAATGATAATGCCCTGAAAAATAGCTTTACCCTTATAATCATGAACTTATTTCATTAAATAGTGTTTACTTATTTGTTTTCTCAAAACCAGTGGTTAAGAACAAAATTAGATCCTTCAATTATTTAAAAATTACAAATATAAGAGGGTCAGAAGGATGGTAACAAAATAGAAATATATAGAGAGGATATTCCATGTGTTGAGTGAAATATGTTTTTTTTCATCCCGTCACGGGGCAAGGAGACAAGGGGGAAATGAGGTATTTTCACAAGTGGTGTAGCCATGAGTGAAAATATCTCCTTTCCCCTGTCATGAGATGAGAGAAACATGATATATACTTTTTGTGTAGTTGTCAACTGGAAAATTAAAATATTTTAATACAAATGTTAAACCTTGAAACTTAAGTTATCCCTACCTAACACACAGGGACATTTCACCACTCTTTGTTTTTGCAACTTAAAAAGTCGTACAGTGTTTGTAAAATCTTAAAAAAAGATAAACAACAGTAACAAAACATATTTGATGTCGGTAAAAATGTATCATTACATTTGGATAAGATCAAAATTTACTTCAAATTCTTTTTTTTTTCTTGAAATCTACGAGATTGTTGGAAGCAAAAGAATACATGCTGGTCAAGTAACAAAAAGGTGCTTTGCAAAACAAACAATCTCGATTAGAGATGAGAGATAAGGGAAACAGGCATTTTCAATAACATTGTCACAGGAACAACCCGTGAAGATCCAGGTTAAAATTGATCCTCAGCAACCCATGCTCGTTGTAAAAGGCAACTAACAGGATCAGGTGGTCAGGGTCAGTGATTTGGTTGATACATTTCATTGTGTGCTAATTTGCATGGATCGATGCTCATGATGTCAATCACTGGATTGTCTGGTCCAGACTTGATTATTTAAAGACCGCCATCATATAGCTGGAATATTGCTGAGCATGGCAATAAACAAATAAACCGAATACATGGGGACAAAGTGACACACTTCTTGGAGCACCCTTGAAGCTATGAATAGTATTTCTGGTTATGTTGAGGATCTGGGACAGGCAGGGAAACAATTGGTGTTTTTGTTGTCAAAAGGGTGATTATCAGGCTTACTGCTAAAAAAAGCTTTTGACTTAAAGTTTCTGTCACTACTCTTGATTTTGAAGGTCGGTGGATATGTTAAACAAGTATTTAAAAATAACAAGGCTTTTAGATCAGTTAGATCTTTCAGTTGTAGTCTGCCTCTGTGGTAAAGTGGAGAGAGCATCTGCCTGGAGAGTGTAAGATCGGCTCGGAGTCATATCTGTGTCTGAGTAGGGTATTCATGTTAAACTGCGGCATGGTATGTCAGTGGGCTAGCACTATAAAACCGGCATTAGTCCGACTAGTACAAGCAGCCACACACGTGTGCATACACGTCGCTTTCTAGGGTTCAGTAATCTTGAATCTGATGTTAAACTTCATTTTGACTCACTTTAGTCTGTATCAGCAAGGATAGCATTTTAAATGTTTCACTATGTCCATGAGAAACTAGACTATGGTCATGTTCCACAAAGTTGTCTCAGTGTTGGGACAAGCTAAACTCTAAGGCTTACGATTGCTGTAGCGATAAGAGCACTTTGTGGAATGGGGGTCCTGATTGCTTAAATTCATTTCTAATAATTTCAGTCCCGTGCACCAACTATTCTGAGGATGAAGATGCTCATGTGTTTATTTTAATGTAAATCCTGAGTTTCATTTTGTTAAATTCATAGCTCTGAGCTCACTTAAACAAAGCTATCTGATCACTATGTCTAATGTTTACTTTAGACTATACCTAAGAGCTAAGATGCTTTGTGCAGGTAAAACTTTCTATTTACAGGCTTATCTGACAGTTCTCCAGAAATGGCTGGATCTGCATGACAAGTCCAAGAAATACAAATATATGGACTTTGGTGAGAAAATTGCAACCATCACTGGGAGAGTTGATGTTGCTTTGACCAAATATCAGTCTCTCTATACCAAAGAGGCCAAACACAGGGAGGTTCTGGCACAGGTGAGCATGTACATGTATCTAGAAGCTATAACAATGATAATAATATTGTTTTATATTGAGTGTGTAACACTCCCAAACTAATTCTGCGATTCCCTGAACGTGGAAAGATGACAGAAAATGTAACTTGCTGCAGATTATAAAACAAACATGGAATTTGCCATTTTTTAAACAATCAATATACTGTTGGGTGAGAAACTGGTCTCAACTGATTACCCAAGGAAGTGTTTGAAAATGTTAAAAATTAGTAACAGGATAATGTCCTTTTTATCCATATATATGAAAGTTTGATGATAAGTGTGATATCTAATTTGGGCTAATCATGTTGAGTGAGTGAGTTGCCACTTTGAACAGTATTCAAGTTATATTATGGTGTGTCAGCTTAATGTTGGAGAAATGCCTGAAGTGATACAGGTCTCAGACGTTTACCACTTTGGTGAAACCCACGAGCACGGGTATGTTGCTGACAAACCTAGAAACACCATCAGGGTGAACCAAGATTCGAACCCAAGATTATAGTTTTCTGGCATGCGCGCAAGGGGCACAACTCTGCACAGCGAATTGCGGAGTCTTAGATGACTGGGCCACCAGTGCCCCCTACGATCCTGTTAGAGGTAAGGGTTGTTCACTGATGTAGGCAATGGAAGAGAATAAATGTATTTTTGTAGCTTTAAGTAGTATGTGAAGTAAGGAGTGAAAGTCTTAATTTCATCCCCCAGGACACAGAGGAATTGAAATCTGACTTCATGAAACAGGAGACGGAAAAATTGGAGTTAATGTTTGACATTCTCAGTGATCTGTTGTCAAAGATGGAAAAGGTTGCACCACAGGGACTTGAGTAAGTTTTCAAGTAGTTGGCGTTTCTGTGTCAGACCCTGAAAAACACAATCCTTTCAAGTAGTTGGAGTTTCTGTGTCAGACCCTGAAAAACACAATCCTTTCAAGTAGGTGGAGTTTCTGTGTCAGACCCTGAAAAACACAATCCTTTCAAGTATTTGGAGTTTCTGTGTCAGACCCTGAAAAACACAATCCTTTCAAGTAGGTGGAGTTTCTGTGTCAGACCCTGAAAAACACAATCCCTTCAAGTAGTTGGAGTTTCTGTGTCAGACCCTGAAAAACACAATCCTTTCAAGTAGGTGGAGTTTCTGTGTCAGACCCTGAAAAACACAATCCTTTCAAGTAGGTGGAGTTTCTGTGTCAGACCCTGAAAAACAATCCCTGATACAAAATAGCAAAGACTGCACCCAGGGAGGTGCAATCCTCTTTCTGCATAAAAAATAATCATATGATGAACACAGATCCTGAATTTGTTTCCACTTTTATACACACATTCACAATGTACTTTCATTAATTCTGCACTGCTTAACAATGGTCCATATACATTTAGAATAACAAACAAAACGGAAGTAGGAATATGGCATACAGTGCAAGGTATTCAAGGGACACACCTTTTGTCTCAAACAATATATGATGCCCAATTTGTATCAATGTTGTTTGGTTCACGTTTTTAAAAATATACCTGTTTTTCAATGATATATTTTTGCTTTAGCTCTTGCTTAAAATGTTGCATAAAAAAGGTTGTTTTTTTCAAATTCAATTTGCACTTATAAACTCACTACCACAAAAATTTATTTATTTCCTTTCAGTTCGCTGAACTTTATTTCCCGAATTCCACCGTTTCATGCGTTTTCATTTTGTGCGTATATACATATGTTTAGATTTAATGCATTAATCATAATATTCTTTTTTAGTTTGTCTCTCATGAAGATTCTGAATCAGTGCCATTGCTGACATCATTGGACATGAGCTTTGACATGTAGCATCCCCCCACCCCTCCGTTAACCCCCACACCCTGAGCTACAAAAATGTATGTTTATGTTTTGGATCCCCAACTCTGAGAAACACTCTTACATGGGTTGCAATAGTTATTCAAGTAAACAGACGACTCGAATATGCTGTGTTTCAGTGACCTGCTGTTCCTGAATTTTGGGCCAGAGGAACCAGACATTGACATGATGACGACTGAAGGATGGAAGGCTCATCTGCAAAAGTACATGTTCCAAAAATACAGGGTCAGTGTTATTCAGTATGATCATACCTCCTTTCTCATTCCTGTTAATCAGTTGAATCTGTTAAATAAAGACACTACCGGTTTGTTGGTAACTTGTTGTTCCCATCACATATTGAAAAGCAAACACAATGCATATTCTCATACAGGGCACCTGCCACATACAGGGCACCTATCACATACATGGCACCTGTCACATACATGGCACCTGTCACATACATGGCACCTGTCACATACAGGGCACCTGTAACATACAGGGCACCTATCACATACATGGCACCTGTCACATACATGGCACCTGTCACATACAGGGCACCTGTCACATACATGGCACCTATCACATAGAGTGCACCTGTCACATACATGGCACCTGTCACATACAGGGCACCTGTCACATAGAGTGCACCTGTCACATACATGGCACCTGTCACATACATGGCACCTATCACATACATGGCACCTGTCACATCCATGGCACCTGTCACATACATGGCACCTATCACATAGAGTGCACCTGTCACATTCATGGCACCTGTCACATCCATGGCACCTGTCACATACATGGCACCTATCACATAGAGTGCACCTGTCACATAGAGTGCACCTGTCACATACATGGCACCTATCACATAGAGTGCACCTGTCACATCCATGGCACCTGTCACATACATGGCACCTGTCACATACATGGCACCTATCACATAGAGTGCACCTGTCACATACATGGCACCTGTCACATACATGGCACCTGTCACATACAGGGCACCTGTCACATAGAGTGCACCTGTCACATACATGGCACCTGTCACATACATGGCACCTATCACATAGAGTGCACCTGTCACATACATGGCACCTGTCACATACATGGCACCTATCACATAGAGTGCACCTGTCACATCCATGGCACCTGTCACATACATGGCACCTGTCACATACAGGGCACCTATCACATGCATGGCACCTGTCACATACATGGCACCTGTCACATACAGGGCACCTGTCACATAGAGTGCACCTGTCACATACATGACACCTGTCACATACATGGCACCTGTCACATACAGGGCACCTGTCACATACATGGCACCTGTCACATAGAGTGCACCTGTGGCACATACATGGCACCTGTCACATACAGGGCACCTGTCACATACATAGCACCTGTCACATACATGGCACCTGTAACATACATGGCACCTGGGCACCTGTCTTTAATCTAGTAATTTTGAAAACAATTCCAGATTTGGTATATTTTCTTGTTGGGTTGAAAATATCAATTTTTTCTTAATATGTTGGTGTGATGGTGTGATTAAACAAAAAGAAACAGAGCATTTCCCCAAATTCTTCAGCTGTTGGTACCTTGCATACAGGATAGCAATGACCTTGCAAAACACCTCCATGTTATCTATAAACATACATGTAAATATAAATTTGGTGTACTCAGGATAAGAGTCTGCAACTATAGCCACTAGTCAGAATTTTGATTCTTGTAAAGTCCTTGTGGACTTTTAAGCTCAGTTTATGACACCCCAAAGAGTAAAATCTACTGAAAAATATCTAGAGGAAAATGTAGGGCCAGTAGCATGAAAAATATAATATAGCGGAATAATAGTTCTATATTTCCTTATATTGCTCCTAAGTCATCGGGGTCTCTGTTTTCATGTCACCAAAAACTTATTCATTTTCATGTCACAGACATATCTGTTGAACACTGATTTCTTTTCTAATCATCTGTTGTTCTAAGATTTTGTTACTTGCTATTTTTTATTATCTTATGGAGTGCATGTTTTCTAAAATATAGTTTGAAGGTGTAAGTCAAGTGTGGCAGCAACACATATGATTTAAACCCCTAAAACAGCTAATATAACAGTGTTCCTGTACCTTCATGTTCCTCTGGCAAAATTAGCGTTCCTTCTCCTGCAGGGACCCGAAGGAACAGATCCACGGAGTCCTCAGCCTATCCTGAAGGAGGGAGATTATAAGAAAACTAAGCTGTGTCCTACAAATATCTTCTGTGTTGTATCTGATGCAGAGGAATCGGACACAGATTGTATTGAGGCTCAACCTGGTGCTGCAAAGTCCCTTTCAAACTCTAAAATGACATCCAAGATTAAGGTTGCTGAGAACAAACCTCACAGTTCCAAATATATGTTGCCAAAACGCGCTGCTCGCACCACACCTGTCACCTCAAGTGAAAATCTTATGTCTGAGACAGTTATCAAGGAACCAACTGGTCCTAACTTAAAACAAATGAACTGTGATGATACGCTCTCGTATTCTGATGAATCTTCAAAGAAATGTGGAAAAGCTGAGGATAAAGATTCAAAGAGAATGAGGAAGAATATCTTTAAAGATGCTCCACCTAGGGAAAAGAGGGGTGTTGTGAACAAATCAAATGAAGGTGAAAGCATCACTAAAGAAGACAGTGCCTTAACATCACCTAAAGTAAATCGTTCTGAGACTAGCACTCATGATGTTATGCAGGTGTTCTTAGAATCCTGCAAAAATTATTCACCTGTTATAGATAAAGGCAAGACTGGCAATAGTGACATCGCAACCAATGATTCGGAATCTGCTTCAGGATCAAAGGGTCAGAGTCGTATTCCAGTAAGCATGTCTCGAAAACAGCAAGCTGCAGACCACAAAGAAGATCACCGTGTTCAAAGTGACAATAATTCAGCAAACAAACAAAACTTGACATTAATTAAAAATGTCATAGATCAAAAGAAAGACAGATCTTCTCAAGGAAAAGACAGCGATTGCTCAAGCACCAAGGGACAACTAAAGGATTCCAAGGTGAAAGACAGTGCAACATCTGCCTCCAAGGCTGGAGATAACCCTGGCTCCAAACAAAAGAAAAATGGTTTCTTCTCCAAAATCCCCCAGAGGAGTGACCAATCTTTGAAAGGACAAGAAAGAAAGGACTCCAGTAAACAAGGAACTGAAATGAAGCTGACAGGTCAAGACAGCAGTGAATGTCTAGAAAAGGAGAAATTAAAAGTTCGATATTCAGGTAAAATATATAGGAGGATGAATGTTGTTCAACATCACAGTCAGCAATAATCTAGCTTAGTAAAAGCAGCCAGTTAATAGTCTGGACTGCTCCTGTGGCCTAGTGGTAGAGCGTCTGCCCTGAGAACGGATGGTCCGGGGTTTGATCCCCAGCCTCGTCATACCAAAAGACGTTAAAAGATATTACCTTGCCACACACATGTGAATGCAAGTCGCTATATAAGTACAATAATCTTGGACGTGACGTTAAACCCCGTTTCATCTCCCCTAATAATAGTCTACACTTGGCAGTGATGAATGGATCACTATGCCACTGTAGCTGTCATATACATTGTATGTTGTACCAACAGCAGTCATCACTCGGTATTTAAATAATAAAATGATTGTTTATTGTAGAGGATTCTGTTGAGGAAATAAAGCTGAGCAGATCTTTTATAGTTGGCAATAAGAAAAAAATCCAGGCTTCAAGCAAGGATGACATGGACACAGGTATGAAACAAATTTTCTTTCTGGAAATAATAATAATCCAGAATTCTACCCTGAATTTGAAAATTTCTTGATTCTGATTGGTCAATCAGAGGTATCAAATCACAATAACCACCTCTGATTAAAAGAGCTGTTTGATGGTTGCATCACCACAGAAGCTGATATTCATGGAAAAGTACTTTTTTCTAATCATTGTTGGTAGGTACTTTTAAATGATATGTACAGTCACAGGTTTCAAAATACAGAGTAGCATTTACTACAATATTCAAAGTATGTGTGACATTAAACGGACACAAAACATGATAGAAATTGAATGTATTTCCATTTGTGGATTTGGTGATTTTCTGTAGTCAACTGCTCTCAAAGTGTTTGCGTTTAGTTTTGTCATGATAGAATGGCAATCGCACTCAGTTCCATATTAAAATCAGAGGAATCTTATCGAGTTATTCCCATGATTATTATTAGCCCGGTCAATCGATCCATGTCAACTCGATTTCATACTCAGCTCCCTAGGGAGTACGTATTTCCAAGCTGCATGTGGCGCTCTAGAACGTTAACGGTCACATTACCATCTCATCCTACTGGGTACCCACTCACTGCTGGGTGATTAGAAGCATATGTTGACAAAGTCACTTGCCCAGGGAGACACAACATGTGCTACATGTGCTTCAGTGTGGGGCAGTACCGAAGCCCTAGAAACTCTCAGGATTCAACCGGTCACCCATCTTCCCGAGGCAAGAGAGCTAACTGACTATAACAGTCCAGTTTCCACCCTTGCTGGACTAGGATGGTATTACTGAGTTACATTTTGGCTGAACTAACGAGTCCATGCATAGTCCAATCAAAATCGTGCACTGAAATCGAAATCCGGTTTGTTAACTGTCGTTCAGATTTCGGTTGTTGCACGATTTGCAAAGAATGTGCACTGCCAACTCGTTGTCAGCAGATATTTCCCAAATCTTTTCATGTTTTTAATCAAGGTGCTCACGTGAATTGATACATTTCGCTATGTAAGACCTGTTTTATCACAATATAGATCTTGATTATCGATCAGATTGTCCTGACCGGGCGCCACCATTTTGTGTGAAGCAAACGCAAGTGATACTAGAGGTGAAATCTGATTGGTCCATAGGAGAGGGCGAGAAGGGACATAACTGGTAATAGACACTGGTGGCGCTACGATCGAGCCCAGAAATTCCATCCTAGTTCGGCAAGGGTGGAAACTGGACTTTTAAAGTCAGTTAACTCTCTTGCCTCGGGAAGATGACGGTCACCCATCCAATTACTGTCCACGACCAACGTTGCTTAACTTCGCCTGATTTGTGACCTATCCGGTGTACACAGGACCACGGACCACCACTGATGTATTGATTCCATTGTGATTGATGATGTGTTGTAACATGAAACAGATACATTTATAGAACCAGCTCCACCACTGGATGCAGGAGTCCAGCCGGTAATTGAGAGTGACATGTCAAACCTGTGATTGATGGCGATGTGTCTAACCGTCTGATCATCAGGTGATGCTCCCGACACCAGTCAGGATGTGACACTGATGAGTGATGTGACTGTTGTTGTTTTGAAGGACAGGCAGAAACTGAACCCTGAGGAAATCTCCATCAGAGCTGGTAGGTTTATCTTCTTGTTTAGTACATAAACTGTAACCAAAATAGGAACTGTATCTTCGTATAAAGTTAAAATATATCACCTTACCCTATTAGTATTGGGGCGGTCGGGTAGCCTAATGGTTAAAGCGTTCGCTCGTCACGCCGAAGACCCGGGTTCGATTCTCGACATGGGTACAATGTGTGAAGCCCATTTCTGGTGTCACCCACCGTGGTATTGCTGGAATATTGCTAAAAGCGGCGTAAAACCATACTCACTCACTCACCCTATTAGTATTGATGCAGGGTTAGAAATTGGCACTAGTCCTATAGTCCTTGTCAAACTGCCCAATAGTTAAGGTATTGTAAGGACTAGTAGAAATTTGCCCTTTTTAAGGGTTTTGCTATATGTTATCATCATAAGGACAAGTGGTCTAAAACTGTTAGTTTCTAACGCTGTAATGTTTAGTTGTTTGTGTGCAAAAAAGAAATTATGAAACTATGGTATTGCTCCACTCGTAAATACTCAGTGTAGCCTTTTCAGCTTGCATACCTATATTCCTTACAGATCTTTACTGAACACATGCAGGTGTCACCTACACAAGAATTCTCTGCAGTGAATAATGTACAATCACATTTCATCTTGCTAATTGTAACTTTGACATGTTCTTCGTTGTTGTGAGCCTTTCCAGCATCCGACACACTTGGGGATGCACATGATTAGATGCAAATTAGAAATCACCTGAAACAGCATTTAAAGCAGAATTATTTAAAAAAAAACTATGTCTGTCATTGGTTTAAAAATACTCCATGGCCCGAGGGAGTAAAACTATACTGAATCTAATCTAATCACTGTATCATTATCTGATCCAGGGATGAAGATCAAACAGAAGCGTGGAACAGATAAGGATGGCATGGCTTATGGCTACAAGAAGACAAGATATGGACTGAAGAAGTATGGTCTCTACCCTGCTGACCACGTCTCCCTGTACAGCAGGGACTGATGTCCATGAAGACACTCACAAGAACTGGCACAGTATCCACACTACTGACGTCTCCTTGTACAGCATGGGCTGATGTCCATGAAGACACTCACCAGAACTGGCACAGTATCCACACCACTGTCTCTCCTTGTACTGCATGGGCTGATGTCCATGAAGACACTCACCAGAACTGACACAGTATCCACACCACTTACGTCTCCTTGTACTGCATGGACTGATGTCCATGAAGACACTCACCAGAACTGACACAGTATCCACACCACTGACGTCTCCTTGTACTGCATGGGCTGATGTCCATGAAGACACTCACCAGAACTGACACAGTATCCACACCACTGTCTCTCCTTGTACTGCATGGACTGATGTCCATATAGACACTCACCAGAACTGACACAGTATCCACACCACTGTCTCTCCTTGTACTGCATGGGCTGATGTCCATGAAGACACTCACCAGAACTGGCAAAGTATCCACACCACTGTCTCTCCTTGTACTGCATGGGCTGATGTCCATGAAGACATTCACCAGAACTGACACAGTATCCACACCACTATCTCTCCTTGTACAGCATGGGCTGATGTCCATGAAGACACTCACCAGCACTGGCACAGTATCCACACTACTGATGTCTCCTTGTACAGCATGGGCTGATGTCCATGAAGACACTCACCAGAACTGGTACAGTATCCACACCACTGACATCTCCTTTTACAGCATGGGCTGATGTCCATGAAGACACTCATCAGAACTAGCACAGTATCCACACCACTGACGTCTCCTTGTACAGCATGGGCTGATGTCCATGAAGACACTCACCAGAACTGGCACAGTATCCACACCACAGACAGAACCATAGTTACTTATTTTAATCATACAAAGTGAAAAATCAAATAACGAACCTGTAGAACACGATACTAGTTGTCCATTTGTGTTTACCTTTTACACATGGTATGTGCACAGCATTTCTATATTCTATAACCATCACGATTGCAAGGATGTTTTTAAATGTTTCTGTTTCTAACCCAATTTTCCAAATGTTTCTGGTAAACTGGTACTGTTTAATTGAATATATGTGAAGTTGTACATATGACTTATTAAATCCAATTTCAGAGTTATTTTATTGGAAACAGGAGTGTTTGATATTGTCTGGATGAAAATCCGATTTTCTATACAATGTATCATACTGGACTTGACCAAGGAGATCACTGGTGTTGTAACTGACACCTAATAACACTGAGTGGAATCTCTAGAGTAACATGTTAACACATGCTACAAATGTATGTGCACAGCATTTGCATAACTATGATAATTATGAGGATGTTTTTCAATGTTTCGGTTAAAGATATATTCTCCAAATGTTTCTGGTAAACTTGTAGTGAAGATGTATGTACATTATTCTTTTGTATAATATAATCATCATTTTGTTTGTCCGTCCGTCCATCTGTCCGTATTTTGTTTCTGGAGCATAACTTGAAAACTGTGACATCTGGGATGACGTGTATTATACTTGGAAAGAGGAGTGTTTTATATTGTCTGGAATGAAAATCTGTGATTTTGTACACATTGTACATCTCTGACCTTATACTTGTTCACTGCATGGTTCAGTGGTAGAATTTTGCAACAAGTTTTTGACTGTTACAAATGTTATGTGTACTATTCATTGTTACTATTTAAAGCAGGACTTTGAGGAATTTTTAATGAATTGTTGAAACATGTACAATATCATGAATTTGAATCATATATATATATATATATATATATATATATATATATCCAAGGATACCTCAGATCCTCTGTTGTTATTGAAAGCTAATATTTTTTAAAGGCAGTATCTGGCCTGAAAATAAAAATATTTCAACGTTGCATGTATATGAAGTGCTTATCCTGATGTCGGATGATTTCCTTGGTTTCTGTCAATGAGTATTCGAGTTGTGTTCATCTTCCAGAGGCAAGGCAGTTAACTGATTATAAAAGTTAAGTTTCCACCCTTGCCAAACTAGGTTAGAATTAAGGAGTTGTATTTTGGCCGGACTAATGAGTCTATTCATAGTCCAATCAAAATCTCTTAATGAAATAGACATCCTGTTTGGAAACTGCCGTGCACATTTTGGTCGATTGCTGGATTTGAAAAGCATTTGTACCGAGAACTTAGCATCCATAGATACTTTCTAAGTCTTTTCATGTTTGTAATCAAGGTGATCACGTCATTTGGTGCCCTTTGTGAAGTAAGACCCATGTTATTATTTTTTACATCTTGTTTATCGGTTAGATTGTCTTTCACAAGGTGATGCCATTTTTTTTTGTGAGGTGGAATCTGATAGACAAAAGGAGGGACATAGATGGGACGTAACTCATGATAGCCACTGATGGCGCTACGATTGAGCCCAGAAATTCCCACCAAGTTCAGCAAGGCTTGAAACTTGGCTTTTGCAATTAGTTAACTCCCATGCCTCAGGAAGATGAGTTGTGTTTTAATATTCTTTGAACAGTATATAAATGATATAGTGTGACAGCTGCATGTGGAAGGAAAGGCAAGTGTGATGCAGGATGTAGATGTTAACATTGATGGAACTCATGAACATAGGTAGATACAGTGCTGAAGACTGAGGAGTAAAACTGGGACTCAAAGTCAGGATCAGTGAATATCTGCACTGCCAGTGAGTGAGTGAGTGAGGTAGGGTTTACGCCACTTTTAGAAATATTCCGTAACATCCTGGAAGGCGACAGAAACAGGCTTAATACATTGTACACATGTGGGGAATCAACCTGGGCCTTTGGCAAGATGAGTGAATGCTTTAACTATAAGGCTACCTCACCACCCTATACTGCCAATGAATGCAACTCTGCACATCTGGATGCAGCACCCTTGAATCCAGGAAGACTCCCAGACAAACCAAGGATCATTATTAGAGTGAATTGGGCTTTGAATCCACGTGAGACGGATCTTATTACTTTCTACAGTCTCCTGTGCTCGCTCCAAATAAAGAACAAGACTACGCATCTCCTTTGAATTTCAACAAAGATTTTATTCATTGAGGACAACATGGAAACAAAATACTGAATATGTATATACTCACTCATCAGACGTAGTCCATCTATTAAATTACAATTTCATTTTCTCTGACACTTTGCATGTGTGTGACACAATAATGATCAAGAGATTCATATATCACAGATCTTGAAACACAGCCATCAAGTAAAATCAGACTTTGCTGACCTTCTACATAACACATTTTGACTCAACACATTTTTTGCAAGCCCTGGGCAGAATAGGTCATGCAGCTCCACACCCGTTGCCCATGAACAGCATAGATCTACACAGTGTAGTCTTAATTGAATTTTGTTTTTGTTTGGTTGTTGTTTAACACCACACTCAGCAATATTCCAGCTATGTGGCAGCGGTCTGTAAATAATCGAGTCTATACAAGACAATCAAGTGATTGATATCATGAGCATCGACCCAAGCTGTTGGGATCGAGTGGATTGATGCTCATGATATCAATCACTTGATTGAAAGTGAAACAATGTCTCTATGTACTTAGGGTGTTCATTACTGTTAGATTGATAAACACAAGAGAATTTGATTGTTTTCAATGAAACTTGCTGCAACTGCTAATTTTCCAAACAGTATCTTAACTCATACCTGATCAGAGAATCACCACTTAGGATTAAACGTGGCAGTGATGAAAACAAACAAATATAAACTGTTGATGCAAACATTTCTCAGTGTCAGCAAAAAGTATCACAGATAAACTTCTCTTTTCAACCAAATCTGGTTCAACTGTTCGACACATCAACACTATTGATGAATCACTGTGTGATTCCGTTTCACAGCAACCACCAACAGCTCACACTTGCCCGTAAGCTTTAAGATGTACGTACTGCTCAAACACCTCCCAGTAGCGGCTGGCAAAGGCATGCTTCAGCTCCTCACTTTCAACAATCTTCTTCAAGGCTACAGTTGTAGTCTCTGAGATCTTGACGAGGTCAAACCTTGGGAAGACCCTGGAAGAAGGAACAACAGGTCAGACATAGTACGACCCTGTCATAAGTTCTCAACGCTAAGTTCATCAACATCAAGAAACAGCCACTCATTGGCAGTGTAACTGAAATCAAGTTAAGTTTGGGTCATCTTGTTTGCTATTCAGGAGTCATTTGATGGAAATGGAACATCACTGAAAAAGGTTCTAGACGATGAATTTGTTTCATGACTAAGGTTGGACAAGAAACGGTGCCTGTTTTCAATAGTAATTATACCCGTGAAGATCCGGGGTAGAATAGGTTGTTAGCATCCCATGCTTGCTGTAAAAGGCGACTAACGGGATCCGGTGGTCAGGCTTGCTGACTTGGTTGATGCATGTCATCGTATCCCAATTGCATGGATCTTTGCTCATGATATCAATCACTGGATTGTCTGGTCCAGACTCGATTACTTACAGACCGACGTCATATAGCTGGAATATTGCTGAGTGCGGCGTTAAACCAAAAAAACCAAAAATAGTAATTAAAAAAATAATTCAAACAAATCCAAGGTATATTTCTTTCCTCTTCCCTGGTGTGTTCCGAATGCATGGAAACCTCAAGACAATCATGATAATGTCAGTATTGACAACATTTCCATATAGCGCCGAAAACTTCCAGTGATAGATAAATGCTGAACAAAAATAGGTCTCAGTCAACCCTTTACACTTACTTGTCAGTGTCTTCCTCTGACTTTTTGGCAAAGTGTTCCACCCTGAGTCTGTCATCAATAGGCTCCTTGTCCGTCTCCCCAAACATCGCTAGGTGCAGAGAATCCAGGGAATCCTGTCTCCCCATCCCAAGGCTGGAGCACATGTTGAGGAAGGCGTACACCATCACGCCTCCAACACGGACAGGAGTTGATACAATACTATCTAAAACACAATGCCAGACACCTCACTACCACGTCAAACAAGTATCATTATTGTTGAAAAATCTTTTCACAAGTCATGAATTATTCAAAATGCCAAACTTGGGCATCATGCTGAACATCACTTTCAACACATTTCTCACAGGGCCTTAATATTGTATCATGGAATATATTTAGGTAAAAATGGCAACCTGTGGATTTTACTAACAATTACAATTACTGACTATTACTTCAACATTATTGCAGTTACCTACATTTCTATTTTTGTTTCAGTCATATTTGCAAATATAAGATAGCTATGCGATTAATCACAAGAACAATCAGGAACGAAGTATGGTTTATTTCACAATAAAACATGGTTCTATCATGACCTCATTTCTGAAGATTTGAATATGCGCTCGCAACTTGATTACATCATATATTGATTATTGAACAAGGGTATTTTTGAGAGGGAGGTGTCCTGTTAGTTGTTCCCCATAGATGTAGCTGGGCTATGCAGATAAATGTAGAGGCCGAACAATCGCATCCAAAAGTGGAAGAGAAATGACAATAGATATTAGGAGAAAAGGTACAGATAATTGACGTGAGGACTAAGAATATGAAGGGCACACCAAACTTAACCCATCTTTTTGTAAAAAGGACTTTTCCGACATTCACGAGGTCAGATTCTATTTAGGGAATCATAATGAGTAAAATCCGGGTAAACTCTTTTAAAGCTTGTACATTTGATCAATGTCCTTAAAGAGGCTGTACATAATGTTGATATCTAATACAAAAAATAAACAACTTGTGGTCGTTGTTTATCGTACAATAAACGGGGTACGACAAATACGCCGGCCAACGAGACAAATGCGAGTGAAACTTGATCTGGGCCAGTAATTTTATATTTATACTGGACGAGCTGGCTATTGAAATAATATGGTGTACCAATCGCTTTAAGTCAGGTTAAAACTCACTTGATCTCCTATTCAGTCAACAAAAGCAGTACATCAACTTGTCTCTGCCAACTACCAGTGTTAGTTACCTTCCTTACCGAGACCGTAACACGATGTATAAAATATCTGTCAACTGGCTATTTATGTCCGTGTGGCAGGCACATGCCATGATAACAACTCTACATAGGAAAGTGAGAGATTTCTACGCTTCACATACCAGTATTCTGTAATGGCCGTCACGGACGGAACTGCTTCGTGGATTTTTTTTAAAGCCACTGCGGCAAATTGAAAAGTCCTGTGAACCAACACAAAGTGCAAGAAAGAGGGGAAGGACATTCCAACAGTCGTGGAAGCTCAAATTTCCATGGTTAGAAGTGCATGAAACAAACAAAGTCAATAAAGTCATGAATAAAATGACTTTAACTATATTGACAAGTGTTTGCACTCTTAAATTTCTGAATTTCTGTTGGACTTGTAACTTAATATCTGGGCCAGTGGTTTTTATTTCTTACTGGACCAGTGGGCTAGTGTGTAGATAAGACATTTGTCAAACCCCGAATAAAACACTGCAATGAGATTCTACCACTCGGAGCTTCAACCTCAAGCTTTATTCTCCCTGCAGTGGTTAATTGTACGATAAATAACTCTAACTTTATTTCTTAAGTAAACCAGACACAATTTCTTTTCTACAATTGCCTACAATGCCAACTGAAGATCTCATCAAGCAATAGGCTCTTTTGATAAGTATCCAATCATGTTTGTAACAACAACATACATCTTAGTCCTTACTGTACATCTGGCTTCATCCACTGTGTGCTATTTGTCATCAATCACCTGTTGCAGTAAGTGTTTATTTCCTACTTATCACAACTTATCATGTATATATACCTTTCATCACTCGGTGTACTCATTCAAGCTTGAGGACAAAGTAAAAATCTACATCGAAATGCTGCTTCGAGTTGGTATCCATTAAGTTGTATACATGGCAAGGAGTATTATTATGGATGACAACTTTATAATACATACACAACGTTTAAGGGCTACTTCTTAGCCATACATCAGGCATTGCCTGCTGAAACATGTATAACAAGTACAAAAGTGAGCGTGTCTCACTAATACCCCCACTAGTTACAAATTAAATAGCTAGGATAGGGTTAGGGTTTGAAAAATTCATTAAAAAATGGAAAATTGATAAAAACAATTTTTTTCTTTTGACTGCACCCCTCCATATGACACAGATTATATGTACTAAGTTTGAGATGAATCCATTGAATAGTTTAAGAGAAACGGCGCAGACAAAGTTTTTGGATGGACGTTAGGGTTTGAAAAATTCATTAAAAAAATGGAAAATTAATAAAAATGGGTTTTTCAGATTAAAAACGATGTTTTATTGGTCTGTTTTCAGTCGTACAATTGGGTATCTCATACCTCTAGTCGCTCGTTAAAAGGAAGCCAGAGGCTGGAATGAAAACAATAAACTTGTTTCCGTCCGGTTGCGCACGCACCTCCCGATGACATGCCACAAATCTCGAAGAATAAGCCATCAAGCAGGACTGGACTGGATTACTTCCCAGTGGGGATGGCTGGGTGGGAACGTACGACTGAAAACAGACCAATAAAACATCGTTTTTAATCTGAAAAACCCATGTTTTAGTCTGTTTTCAGTCGTACAATTGGGTAGAATTCGACGGAACACTGGAAGGAGGGTCTGGAAAGTAATCCGGAAGTGACCTCTTGCACGTCGAATGTACCAAGTTCCTCACCCCCGTAGTGACAATAGAACATTCGACCAGATGCACGGACGAGACAAATTGTTTATCACGAACACACAGCATGGGTAATGCTCATCGACACACAACTAATTATCGATGCGACAGGACAACTGCACGCGTCAGTTGAACGGCGATCGAAGTGGTCGACGTATAGTTTAGTTACAGAGCAACTCGCAGTATACAAGGTAACTAAACAGCATCTTTAATGCTCTTCGACCCACAAGCAAGTATCGATGCGACAAGGCAACTGCACACGACAGTTGAATTGCAATCGAAGTGTGGACGGTTTATAATTTAGTTTCAGAACGACTCGTCGTATCCAAGGTAACTAAAACTGCATGTTTAATGCTCTTCGACCCACAAGTAAGTATCGATGCGACAGGACAACTGCACACGTCAGTTGAGGTGCGATCGAAACGTGGTCGGCTTATAATGTAGTTACAGAACGACTCGTCGTAGGCAAGGTAACTAAAACAGCATGTTTAATGCTCTTCGACACACTACTAATTATCGATGCGACAGGACAACTGCACGCGTCAGATGAACTGCGATCGAAGCGGTCGACGTATAGTTTAGTTACAGAGCAACTCGCAGTATACAAGGTAACTAAACAGCATCTTTAATGCTCTTCGACCCACAAGTAAGTATCGATGCGACAAGGCAACTGCACACGACAGTTGAATTGCAATCGAAGTGTGGACGGCTTATAATGTAGTTACAGAACGACTCGTCGTAGGCAAGGTAACTAAAACAGCATGTTTAATGCTCTTCGACCCACAAGTAAGTATCGATGCGACAGGACAACTGCACACGTCAGTTGAATTGCGATCGAAGTGTGGTCGGCTTATAATGTAGTTACAGAACGACTTGTCGTATCCAAGGTAACTAAAACAGCATGTTTAATGCTCTTCGACACACTACTAATTATCGATGCGACAGGACAACTGCACGTGTCAGTTGAACTGCGATCGAAGCGGACGACGTATAGTTTAGTTACAGAGCAACTCGCAGTATACAAGGTAACTAGAACAGCATGTATAATGCTCTTCGACCCACAAGTAAGTATCGATGCGACAGGACGACTGCACACGTCAGTTGAATTGCGATCGAAGTGTGGTCGGCTTATAATGTAGTTACAGAACGACTCGTCGTATCCAAGGTAACGAAAACTAGCATGGTTAATGCTCTTCGACACACAACTAATTATCGATGCGACAAGACAACTGCACACGTCAGTTGAATTGCGATCGAAGTGTGGTCGGCGCATAATTTAGTTACAGAGCAACTCGCAGTATACAAGGTAACTAAAAAATACGAGCCGTACTTTAAAGTATGGGAAGACGATGCATACACCGAATAACCATAATAAAACAGCCGAAGTACTGCATACAACAAAAAACCAGAAGAATGCGTACATTCACCAACAGTTTTTATTGTAACCAGCGAGGAGATCTACTTGAGGCAACCAGAGTCAATCTGTCAGCAGATGAAAAACTGTCGGGTGGATCATCCACTCCGTGGGAGACGGCCTCGATGGTCTCGACAGGGCGTCGACTATCACATTCTAGGCCCCCGGGATGATACGGGCGCGTACGCCCATGTCTAAGGATCCTCACTTCTGCCCCCGCTGGCTCTGTCCCCCTTCTGATACGTGGAAAAGGAGACCTGGCGACCTTTTCTGTCCGCATCTCTCTCGTGGGACGGCTGTCCAGGCGTGTCCCTACGAAAGGCCTGTTGCACATGCTCGTTTCTATAACGGCGTCGTGGGGCGTTCGAAACCGGTGGCCGCCTGGACATGTTGTGTGAAGCCGAAATGATGATGTCACGCTCGGCTTCCTTGGAGTACTTGTCCACAACGTCGTTGGTACGACCGTCAAACAACTGTTGCGATGACCACGGGGCCCGTAAGAGTGTCCTGCCATGACGATCAGGTAGGCCAGTGTGCAGGCGATGTAACCATGACGACGTGCCGTAGTAATCTGGCCCGATACATATCGAGATTGGGCGAGGACGTCCGAGATCCACCGTTGCATACAGGTGAGGATTGATGGCACCGTCCTGCCGTCCTCGTCGAGGGGGTCTTTCTCCTCAAAGTACACTGAGAGGGCCTCGATCGCCGTCGACAGCATAGCAAGCGGTTGTAGCTGGTGACGAACAGCAGTGTCCATGGATTCCAAATGCCTGTCTTCTACGAGAATCTTGGAGGGCGCTGCTCTCTTGAAGAGTAGCCCCCAATCCAAGTCCCTACTCATGGGTGACGAAAACGGCATGCCATAAATCGGGTAACTAGATCGACCAGGCGGCTGGTTGAAACTCTGTCCCGGTAGAGCAGAGGCAAAGTTCTGGTCCATATCGTGAGCCATGGCTCTGAAGACATCGGGAGGTGAAAACTGAAGAGACTGTGGCGTAGCACCGACCTTAAAGCCAGGACGCGTCGGTTTGTCGACATCATTTGATAACTCAGGCAGAAAGTTAGATAGCCAAGCAAACAACTCAATGTCTGTGGGAGGCCTAGGAGGGCTGTCGTCACAATCCATCGTCGACGTCGATTGTGGAGGCGTAGATGAAGGAACTGGTGTACTGGTCGATGGTCTATGGACCTCCGACGTAGTCGAATCCTTCTTGGTCGACGCCGTCGAGGCGAGTACCGCCGCCGTGATCTGGGCTATCAAAGTCGGGTCGATAGGAAAGTGAGACGAGGGTGTCGATCGGTCATCAGCTCTACGACGCTGATCTCCAAAAAACTCCCTTCGAGAGCGTCGCACGTCCCCGTGGGGGCGAGGGCTACGATCTCTAACTGTAGAAGTACTACGATCCCCATCGTAGTTATCGTCCGAAACGAACTCACGACGTCCACGAAGGCAACGAACGTCCTCGTGTCGTTTACTGTCTCTCGGCGAGGCCCTCGACCTGTCGTCCTGTGAACGGGAACGACTTCTAGAGAGGGATCTGTGTTCACTGTCGACCCGCACGACGTTCCTATCGTCGTTGGTAGGACCAGAGACGGACCGACTGGGGACCGTAGTCCCCCCGTGGTCCTCGTCACCACCTGGTCCCGTCGTAACAGGGGTGGCTGAGTGACGCTCTCGATCAAGCGATTGACGAAGATCAGTCGTGCGGGAAGTATCATCAGCAGGCGAATGGTCACGTGTCTTGTCGAAAACATAAGTTGACTGAGGCGGGTCTTTATCAACTGATTTCTTGGGTGTGGCCGACGCGCCACCCCCAGGGCCAGATGTAGAGGGTGCAGAGTCCAAGGATCCACCCGATGACCTTCTCTGCTTGTAGCGCTGGTCAGTAGCCCGCTTTGCCAACGCACGAAGATACAAGTTAAAGTTGATAGAAGACAAGTGCTCACATTCTTTACAACGTTTATCCCACGAACACGTTGAAAACCCGTCCTTAATTATGCAGGAAGGACAATACTTGTGAGGATCTACTTTAGACAGTTTTCGTTGACACGAGGCACAAATGCCCGACATGTTGCCACGTGTATAATCAAGTGAACAGTGAAACACGTGTTGAACACAACAATGGATTACCAAGGATTACATTCCAGGAGTCTACAGGGAAGACATATTATCATTACTTTATTAGAACAACAACTGTAGACACACGATAAGTACTAGTAGAATATCGCGAAAGTCCTTCTCGAGCGACCAGCTCAGAGGCGCGCTGAGAGATTTGTGGCATGTCATCGGGAGGTGCGTGCGCAACCGGACGGAAACAAGTTTATTGTTTACATTCCAGCCTCTGGCTTCCTTTTAACGAGCGACTAGAGGTATGAGATACCCAATTGTACGACTGAAAACAGACTAAAACACAATTTTTTTCTTATGACTGCACCCCTCCATATCACACAGATTATATGTACTAAGTTTGAGAGGAATCCCCTGAACAGTTGAAGAGAAACCGCGCGGACAAAGTTTTCGGACGGACGGACGGACAGAACCTTGGTATAACTATATACCCCCGACATTTTGTCGGGGGTATAATAAAGAAGTTGTTATCCACAATCATACTCCTGGATAATAATACCCCTTTGTCTGTTTTTACATCCAACTTCTAAATGCCTCTGCAGAATCTCATATAAATGTTGTATGTTTTCATATTCATCCAACAACTTCTCGAATGCCAATCAAACAGTCAGACTGTGATCAGACTACAGCAAAACATTAATATGAGTTTGTTAATATTTAAAGTCACATTGGCAATACTTCAGCTATATCGTGATTCAGTGAGTATGGTTTTACGCTGCTTTTAGCAATATTCCGGCAGGGGACACCAGAAATGGGCTTCAAACATTGTACATCATGTCGGGAATCGAACCCAGGTCTTTGGCGTGACAAGCGAACGCTTTAACCACTAGGCCCCTCGACCGCCCCTCATCTATATGGTGACTTGAACAAGTTACTTATATTTGACGGCTTTATATCATGGAAAGGGGACTTCAAGATATGTTTAGTGATTTACCTGATTTGTTGAAAGCAAAAGGACTTGTAGTCTCTACAGTTTCTTTTCTCCCAAGTGCAGTGTTAATGTTTACAGAGTAGTCCCAGGGTTTCTCCCAGTTTTCAGGTTTAATGTCGCACTCTGGTTTAACAATATTGTCAACACCAAACAGCTGTTTGAGTTTGCGTGGTGCGACGCTGCTGGCAGTGCAGTAGATGATGCTGGTGGACGTCAGGTACTCCTTCACCTCCTCTGCAACACCTGCGAGCTGCGAAGGCAGCACGCACACAAACACAAGGCGCACCGATGACACCAGCTTCACATTATTATTGTAACACTCCGTACCACGACTTGTCAGGTATTCTGAAAAGAAATTACGACATTAACATGATTAACTAGTAAAATGAAAAGCCAAGGTCAAACTTTAGACATTAAAATGATCCTAAAAAAAAATACCAATTATTCATGTAATTTCATAATGTTCTGAATTGAAGTCTAAACATCTAAAAATTAACTGAACTCCAGTTCTTAAGGAAATGAACCACACTGAAGATTTATTAGTGAGAGTGTGAGTGAGTATGGTTTTAGGTAATATCACAGCGGGGGACACCAGAAATGGGCTTCACACATGTCGGGAATCGAACCCGGGTCTTCGGCGTGGTGAGCGAACGTCTATCCACTTGGCTACCCGACCGCCCGAAGATTTATTAGTAATATTCACATAATCATCATAATTAAAATGACTCTTCTTCATTAGTTGATGCATGTAAGTCAATTGATTTTAATAGATGAGTAACAGTAGAAAAATTCCCTAATTACATACACACACCGATAGAGGTGAAGTGACACTGGCCACATAAATATTACTGTTAACAAAAAAGTAGACTAAGTGTAAAATCATTCACAAGGTTGTATAAGTCAAATTGTATACACCTGGTATTTAAGCAGGGTTAAATCTCTCAACGCTACTTTTGAACCCATTTGACAGAATGTGTCGCAAGCTGTGCCGCTGTGAGACCCGTGACGATCCAGGATAGAATAGGTCTTAAGCAACCCATGCTTGCCGTAAAAGGCGACTGTGCTTGTCGTAAGAGGCGACTAATGGGATCGGGTGGTCAGACTCGCTGACTTAGTTGATGCATGTCATTGTATCCCAATTATGTGGATTGATGCTCATGATGTCAATCACTGGATTGTCTGGTCCAGACTCGATTATTTACAGACAGCCGTCATATAACTGGAATGTTGCTGAGTGCGGCGTTAAACAACAAATAAACTAAATGCTACTATCGAACCCGTTTGACAAGCGAATAGCATAAGGACACCACCCAATAAGAAAAAAACCCATCTACTTAGGGCTAAACTGTACCTAAGGTTTCAGGTCTCCTGGTTGATATGTGTAGATCTGATGGGTTCATTCTGCCGTATGTCAGGAGACAGTGGGCAATCTGACTCCCTACATGACCACATCCTATGATTCCAACTAGAAGAGCATCCTTGCTGTTGAAATCTTGAAGAATTCTTGTCGTTCTTTTATGGGGGCTTTTCAAATGAGTCTTCATTTGTCTGAAAAGTAAAACTGAACCTCAATATTTATCATTATCCAAATGACTGCAATGATTGTACTTCACTAATAATTAGTTTGAGAAAAACATGTATTAAGATTAATTTTAAATAGAATTGTATTGACAGTTAAGGGTAATGCCTTCAGCACCATGTTTACATGCATATTGCTCCTGTCTATCTTGTGGAGTTCATGAACCCATCCTTTCAAGCTGAGCATCTACATCTGCTCACAGTGCATGAGATGAAAAAAATTGCATATGCAGAAGCAACACTCTGGAATGTCACCCTGCTGTCATCATGCAGTCTCTTGCTCCAGGATGTTTCAAAGCATGAAAACCATCTCTGTACCACTTATACATAACTGTTTCTTCTTTTTGACTATTCTTGCAACTTTAATGTTATGCTATGGGCATGCAACTGTTGGTGGATATAGTGCCTGACAAATGTCCATTATTATTTACCGTACTTAGCACTGTTGCACTCCCCTTGACATAAGATATAGTTAAACCCAACTCAATGAGGTTATAAACACCTTAAGCATTCTGATGTGAAAATCACATTATCCAGCAAACTGTCTGAGAGAATTGTGCACTTTACTGGGCACCCTAAGGATCGTGAAGGTGTGTTTGATCAAACCCTTTAAAGAGGCACACAAGATCTGTGAAACGATGGGCAGTCGGCAGCCTGAGCCAATTAGCACTATAGTTAGCTGCACCCATTAAAAAGCATTGTCACCACTGTCTGATTTTGGGGTTATGGCCTATTGAAAGTCAACATATTGTGGACATCAGGAGCATCAATATATATCGCCCAGCACTCTATTTTCGAAAAAACGACACCTATTTTTCGAACAGCCATATATTACATTTATTTGTCGCTATAATGAGAGGTGTGACGTCATCAAAACTGCCGCCCAGAGAGTGCACACGTTCGACCGGTCATCATTGTTTGTGTGCAGTACTCTTCACCTTTCAGAACATTCCGTTGTCATTCAGAATATCGGTGCCCGTGTCATGATAAAGGAAGGGTAAAATGGTGTGAACACTAAAAATTGACAAATACTGATATTTTGTGAATAGGTTTCAAACTTTCCATTACTTTTTTATTTTTAATACTGACATGCAATGAAGCAGAATTTGAGTTTTGATTTACTCATGCCTCGAAATATCAGCAATGCCATTTAAACTGTTAAATTAGGGTATGTCATGAAATATCTATATCAGAAAATGGATTCACACACAATCTAAGAAGCGTCAATGATGAGAGTTATTCTCCCGTATTGCACACGAAGAACGTATGGAGAAACAGTCACTCGCTGGTGACCATGCTTGCAGTTGATGAGCTGTGACATTTCCAAGAAGGAAACTACGAATATCATACTCTGGCTTTGTGACAGTAGTAACGTTATCGGACAAAACGTTTCCATACATTGTAATGATTTCCAGTGTATCCCCTACCAATATTAGGATTATATATTTAACATCACAGCATTTGATTAACCTACCTTCCTTCGTTCAAAATATCAACAAAGTATGTGGCTTGTGCACATAACGAAACGGCAATGGCATGCGACCTTGCTCTCAAAACAAGGAGTTTTCGTTCCTCTTCACTTAGGGCACTTTCAAATTGCAGCGTATGTAAATTACGCGTGATATCGGTATTCGTATCATCGTTTTTCGCATTCAGGCGTGTTAACAACGCCATATTGTATCTATGTACGCCACGCATGCGCAGTATAAATATCAGCAAGTGCGTGATGCGTACGCATGTGTAAGATATTCCGGTAAAAACTTCCGGTTTCTTTGCTTGAGGGTGAGGATCGTTGAAAATATTTAAATTGTCTTAGTGTTTCTGCTAGATTGTGTTTCATCTCAGATAAAATCATTTTTCCAATAAATTCTTTGTAGTCTTCTTGAATATTCTCATTGGTAAATAGGTTAACGCCTGCACGATTAGACTATAAATCAGTTGTTTGTTTATGAGCATACTTCTAGTGTTCCAGTTTTCGTGCGTTGTTATATTTTATCTGTGTTTGCGTTTATGGGTGTCTTGACAATTGGTGTAATGGAAGAGGGAAAGTTTTGAGGTAGTCTTTGATTGGTAAGAGGTCACGGGTGGCCAAATCGTTTATTTCGTAATCAAGTGTGCAGAGTTGCGTCCCCAGTTCATGTAAGAATCTTGGTTTGCCAGAACCTTTAAAATCCACACCATGTACATGATGTAAAAGATAAAGAATTTCTACAAATATTTTGGTACTTTGATATACCAGCATTGAAACAAGCATTACTTTTCCAAATTCCGTCTCTCTATTCTCTCTAGAAATGTGTAAGTCACCTACCGCATTCCAACTTTAAGTTTCACAAATTTCCTCTTTATAAGGCCCCTGTCACACTTGTTTATGTCACATATGATGCTCTATTGAATTTATGTAATAAAACCACAAATATATATGCATTCTAGGTCAGTCATAAGCAATTATCTTCTCAAGAAAAGAACGCATTCATTTTAAATTTACATAAGTCTTCTTAGACATGTTGGAATGTCCTAAAATTAAGCTGGTCCATTCAAAAGCACTCAATTAGTGGCAAATAAATAACTCAGCATCCTTACAAGCAGACAGAGATTGTTTCATTACACATAATTAATGAAATACACTGTCAAAGTCTTAATGAAAATCTGAGTGGTCTGACTGTTAACAATGGTTAAAAGCAATAACTTATAAAATCCATTACCACATACAACGCTTATGTGTACATGAATAACAGTCACCTTCATGTACATCCTGTGTTATCTGGGGGGCACAGGTGGTTGGGGGCACGGATGGCCCAGTCCTCAAAGGTGCCTCTATTCGTTGTGCAGAGTTGTGTCCCTTGGGCACGCCAGAAACCTATGATTGTGTGTTCAAATCCTGGTTTGCCACGATTATCTTTTTAGGTTCGTCAGCACCATACCTGTGCTAGTGGGTTTCACCATAGAGGTAAATGTCTGAGACCTGCATCACTTCAGGCTTTCCTCCCATGTGAAGCTGACATGCCGTGATATAACTGGAATAATGTTAAAAGCGGCGTCAAACCCAACTCACTCACTGTGTTATCTGCCCTTATCAGAACACACCCCCACCCTCAGTCAAAGATCTCTGCATTCGGTATCAATAGTTAAAATAACTCATCATGTAAGACTGTTGACATCTGAATGGCTCCTTCATTTAGATTGGGCAGCCGATTATGGAGGGGTCTGATCTTGATGCAGAGAGCTATTGTGTCTGTGTAAAAGATCTGATTTTTAGGAGACTGGTTCTCGTCTACTGATATGATATTAGAATGGCAACCGGCTCCCTATTCAAAAGACAGCACTAGCTTTACATAAACGGTTGTGCTTCATTTTTAGGTTTTGATATGTTGATGATGAGTGAGTGTGTATGGTTTTACGCCGCTTTTAGCAATATTCCATCAATATCACGGCAGGGGACACCAGAAATAGGCTTCACACATTGTACCCATGTTGGGAATCCAACCCAGGTCTTCGGCTTGACGAGCGAACGCTTTCAACCGCTAGGCTACCTGACCGCCCCAGAATGGGTATAAGGTAATGGAACAGCACAACATTACCAAACACAATAAACATATATTGTGTTGCCAAATTAATATGAATATCAGTTGTTTAAAGGCACATCATTGCAGCTGCAGGTTAAATTAATATAAGCCACCATTTTAACATGATCAGTGTTGTAAAGGTCCTTGCATGTTTAGTATTGCTGACAGAGGCTTCATCTTATCCTTTCAGAGACACCATCATCGCTGACAATACAACATGGCAACTTACAAAGGTGCAGCATCTGAGGCAGGGCGAGCTCAGATTCTCATGAAGAAAAGACAGAAGGAGCAAGATGAAATAGAAGCAAAGAAGAAAAAGATTGAAGAGGAATTAAAAATTGGAAGCATAAACAACAAATTTGCTGCCCATTATGATGCTGTAGAGCAGACCCTTAAGTCCAACACTATTGGTACGCTGGATAGTTTTGCATTGTTTGAAAAAAACATGATAAGATCTGACACACATCTTAACAAAGGCGTGCAAATGTGCATATGTGATCATTATGCTGAACAAAGGCATGCATATGTGATTATAATGCTGAACAAAGGCATGCAAATATGCATATGTGATTAAAATGCTGAACAAAGGCATGCATATGTGATTATAATGCTGAACAAAGGCATGCATATGTGATTATAATGCTGAACAAATGCATGCAAAAATGCATATGTGATTAAAATGCTCGTCGTTGTTTTGACGTCCCTGGGGGCATGGGTGGCCCATTAAACTAAGGTTCCACAATTTGCTGTGCAGAGTTGTGTCCCTTGGCTGCGTCAGAAACCTATAATTGTGGGTTTGAGTCCCCAATCGCCCTGATTGTGTTTCTAGGTTTATCAGCACCATACCCACAATCGTGGGTTTTACCAAAGTGGTAAACATCTGACTCCTGCATCACTTTTGGATTTGCTCCCACATCAAGCTTACACACTGTGATATAACTGGAATACTATTCAAAGCTATTAAGTAATGTATTTATATTTGTCTATTTTTTTAGCAATGTATTATTGTGTCTTGTAGTATACAATGAGAATCTAACTGGATTAAACTGCAATTGCTTCAGCAGTTTAGTGGGTCCCTATGACAAATGTTACTTGTTTTATTATCTAAATTAAGTCAAGAAGTAGTTATAATGGTGAATATGTAGCAGAATAGTGTTTGCAGATCCCCTGTTACCAGTAGCACAATATAATAAAGATAGTTGAGGTGTTTGTTGAAATTTTAAGGAAGAAATTACTCTTTGATCCTGTTGTCTCTCAGTTAGCTTTCATGCTACCATATATAGAGGATTCATCACAAGTGTTTTTTAATGTGGGAAATATCAACCGAGTCTTAGTTAATCGGTATTTGCCGAGCCTTTGGCGAGGCAAATACCGATTAACGGGACGAGGTTGATATTTCCCATATTAAAAAACACTCGTGATGAATTCTATTTATCATTTTCACATTTTTGCTTCCAAATTAAGGAATAATTGCATTAAACATTAACATCAGCAACTTGTCGAAATCTTACGTGTGTATTCTCACTCGTGCGTAGTGATACATGTTTTCCATAGCCATGTAAACCAAAATAAACAATTCGCTGAGAAAAAAGTTCCTCGGATTATTTTAAACAAAATACTTGAACAGACTTTGGCAGAATAATTGAAACTTTAATAACGGTAACAACAACGATTCTGTGTAATCTGATTATATCTCTGGTGTAACTTCACTTATAATATATAGTTTCAAATCAAACCGCTCTCTCTTCCGGTTAGCTAATTTGCATATATAATTTGCATACTTATGTCATTGGGGTATGACATACATGTTTTTATGTCATAAGCTTATGTCATGGATAAATGCTTTAGTTAAATGATAAACCATTATATACATTGTCAACTACATGCTTGAGATAAAGGTCCCATTGCTGATGTAAGAGTTGGCTTCAGTGTTTGTCTGTATGTTGCCAGGTCTGGTGACGCTGGACGAGATGCGAGCCAAACAGGAGAGCGTGGTGAAAGAGAGGGAGAAACAACTGGCAAAGAAGAATGCAGAGGCGCGAGTCATAGAACAGCAGAAGGAGGACAAGAAACGGAAGGAACAAAGAAAAGTAGGAGAGTTACCATGGTTTCTGATAAAGATGATGTGGTGATGATGAAGATGGAGACTAAGATCAAGCTTATGGATGTCATCTACAGTGTTTGTTGTCATCAAAAGGCCATAGAACTCCTTGAACCCTTCCTCTCTTACTCATTCCTTTGTATACAAACTAGACAGAAATTAAGTTATCTTAGATACTAAGTTATCTTGTTTGAAAATATATATATACAAAAAAAAAAAAAAAAATCCAAATGGAGCCCAGAACAATCCGAGAACTGAGGCAATCTAGACTTGAGTTGTACTCATTATACAGTTTTATTCTCCAGGGTCTGGGCGAGAGACCAGACCGGCTAAATATGAATTTTAGACCAAATGGCATATATGTGTTACGTCTTTATATTGATTACTATGTATAAATATTATAAATTTTTATTCAAATCTGCATTAGTCCTTTGGTGATTTGATGCCAGCAAAGATTCTGCATACCTGATGATTGTCATAAGCATAAGAGCCGACTGAAATGTGGATGTGTATTGTTATCATTCTTATTATTGATCTTTGATAATGCTGTCAACCATGGTTTCACAGTAAAACATTCACTTCCTCCCTTTCTGACTTATAAATAACAGATGTGAACATGAACTTGGATGTGACCATGAGCTACTGTGGCAACAGAATCCTTTCTGTTATTGTTGACAGATAACCATGTTGTCATTCGACCCAGAGGAAGACCAGGAGGAAGATGAGGAGGAGGAAGAAGAAGAAGAAGAAGAGTCTGATTCTGCTCTGGAGCTCCCGCCATCAATAGTTCCCGACAAGGGTGGGAAGAAGAAGAGATTAGGTAGAGCATCGTAAATGTCTGTGAGATGAACACCCTGCTTGTAACATTCACCACAATAGTGACTCACTGCCACCTCTTGCTTTTCCCTGTTGTCAGGGTGGAGACACACGGCTGTTGTCACACGGCTGAGTGTACTGTGGGCCCTCCAATTCAGTTCAGGGAGGGTTATTTATATTAATTGGAACTAAAATGTGTCTGTTCCTCTGAACACATATTTTGTTCCTGAAATACAGAGACCCCCCAAAAAATCAAAGTTCCATAATAGAAATCTCAAGTATTGACCAGCCATGGCGCACACAGTAATATAACAATTGTATTGTCTGTCTACCCAGACAGATATTTTAGATGTCAATGTGAGTGCTTATATCGTGTACATTCTAATGGCTTCTAGTTTTTCCAGCATGAGTGTAAGCAAGGTGAAATGAACAGCTAGCAGGATTGGTAATCTTAAGAAGAATGAACTGATTTCTCCTCAGTGATGTTCTTCAGTTGAAACTCCTTCAATGGTTCACTGAGACTGTTTAACTTCTCAGATGTTGGATGGGACTGGTGTTGTGATACGTGATAGCCGTGGGTGTAAATGTGGATTAGGATCGGGTTGATGCTTACCATGGATGAAATTGTGTTGATGTGTGTGTGTGGATGTTGACAGGTGTTGAAGTCTGTGCAGGCGTTGAAGAATGTTCAGATATTGACATGTGTTAATGTGTGTATTGACAGGTGTTGATGTGTGTGTTGACAGGTATGAACCCGGAGGTGGACACCAGCTTCCTGCCAGACAGAGACAGAGATGAGGAGGAAAACAAGATGAGGTGAATCACTCACTCACTCACAGAGACTTAGCTTGGTCCTCACAAAATGGCCACTGGGTGTCTTGTATTTGTTACAGATCAACTAACTGGAGCCAAAAGCTAGCTAAATATATAAACATTATTACTCCCTTGCTCTATGTAACGCATTGACTCACTCAACTCTAACTCCTCTCTCACTCTGTGGGGGCGGTCGGGTAGCCCAGTGGTTAAAGTGTTCGCTCGTCACGCCGATGACTTGGGTTCGATTCCCGACATGGGTACAATGTGTGAAGCCCATTTCTGGTGTCCCTCGCCATGATATTGCTGGAATATTGCTAAAAGCGGGCGTAAAACCAAACTCACTCACTCATTCACTGTGTTGTAGGGAGCAGCTCCAGCAAGAGTGGGAGGAGAAGCAGGCAAAGATCAAGAACGAGGAGATTGACATCACCTACAGCTACTGGGACGGCTCAGGACATCGGCGACAGGTCCGCATGAAGAAGGGCAACAGCATACAGCAGTTCCTGCAGAAGTGTCTGGAGAACCTGCGACGGGAGTTCAACGACCTCAAGTCCATCACAGTGGACCAGCTGATGTACGTCAAGGAGGATCTCATCATACCCCACCACTACCTCTTCTATGACTTCATCGTCACAAAGGCACGAGGGAAGAGTGGGGCTTTGTTTAGTTTTGACGTTCATGAAGATGTTCGAATGGTGAGCGATGCTCGAGTGGAGAAGGATGAGTCCCATGCAGGGAAAGTTTGTCTGAGAAGCTGGTATGAGAGGAACAAGCACATCTTCCCCGCAAGTCGATGGGAACCGTACGACCCAGAGAAAAAGTGGGATTCTTATTCTATTTCTGACAAAAATGCTGCCAAGATTACAGTGAAGTAGAGAACCATTTATCATACAGAATTGGCTTCAATGGGAGATACCACTTGTGTGAGATCAGTCGCTACAATGGAATTGCATTACAATGCTTTGTAGACTATTATGACATCATGGATTACCATGTCACAATCAAATGACATCACTATTCTCTTTGCCACTGAAGCTGGTAAGCACACTGGTTATAACTGCTCACAAACTGAAAAAGTTGGAAGAATGATTTTGGTATCAAATATATCAATACCTGTTAATAAAAAATGGAAACTCCTTGGCAAGCCTTTTATCAACTCGTGTTGATATCATTCATATCAAAAGACACAAGGGTAACATTCTCTGTCACTTGTCCATCTTATGCTCATGAGTACAATGACTGCTCACATGTAACCATGTTTGCAGATGTTTTACCATGACTGCGGGATGTATGTTCATACCTGTCTTTTCAGTAATCTGTAAAAACAGGTTTTCAATATCACATTTATCATGCTGATATGAATATTTATTGGCTGCTATACTGCAAAAGTTAAAAGTTACGAAGGAGTGCAAGCAAGACTTGACATGATCAGCTAAAGTGAATTAATGTGAATTTCAGTTTCATGTTATTCTGCAGTGTGTATGGTATAGCAGTTCATGTTTAGGAACATTTCATTGGAATATGTGGTTATCACCTGTCACGGTCGTCAGACACATGTACAAGTCAATATTAAATATTGTCTCATCACAAACTGTCTTTGCTGTTTTGTGCATTGATTTTTTTATTCAGATCATATCCTCAGTTGGCCAATGGTTGTAGGTGGGTGGATGGAGGCAACAGGTGCCGTATTCCAGCATGATGAGTGTGTGATTGTACCACTACACAGCAATTCACCTTCTTGCAAAACTGAATCACTAGTTATTGTTTGTTTGTTGTTGAACGCCGCACTTGGCAGTATTCCAGCTATATGACAGCGGTCTGTAAATAATCAAGTTGAGACCAGACAATCCAGTGACTGATATCATGAGCATCAATTGGGATAGAATGACATGCATCAGCAACCCAAACAGTGAGCCTGACCACCAGATCCTGTTGGTCGCCTCTTAGAAGCATAGGTTGCTGGAGACCTATTCTATCCCGGATTTTCACGTGCCAAATCACCAGTAAAACAAGAACCATTTAATAATGTCAAACACTCCTGGTGTTGGTGGTGATGCAGTTTGGTTTTGAATCAATTTGTGTCACTGCATTTTTTTTTAAAAGAGATGTAAAAGTACCATATCAACTAGGTCTCATTTATCATGATTATCCCGTCTACAGCTCAGGTTGTCGTACAAAACAACCTTAGTGCTATGACTGTCGCTAAGATCGCTTTTTGCAATGGCACATTTTTTTCATTGTCATGCTCTTGGAAACTGATGAACTGACCTTATGCAAACATGCCAAAGGTCATTCAAAGTCACCGACAAAGTTGTTGGTAAAGAGCAGGTGAGTTGTGTTAACCACTGCTTCAAAAAATATTCCAGTTGTATCACAGCATGTCAGCTTGATGTGGAAGGAAACACGAATGAAGCAGGTCTCAGATGTTTACCATGTTTACCACTTTAGGGAAACCTTCAAAAACGGGTATGGTGCTGGCTGGTGGTGATCTTATGGTTCAGTACATTCTCTTGGTCGATAAACTTTCTGTGAAGACCCAGGATGAACCTGAGACTTGTGTAGGAGGAAGTCTCTCACCACAATTGATAGAAAGACTCACATTTGTGTATCTGTTGCAGTTGTCACACAATCTGCATGTATACTCACAACCAAAAGAAACTTGAATAACATACATGTTGGTTAATATATGAAGAATTATATTGGTTTGATGCACAAACAAAAATATTGTTCGATTGTGTGAACCGTGTGACGTCATAGATTCATGACTCGCAATGCACCATTTGTCTCGTGCAGGATTAGTGTGTAAGGTTTTTATTCATGGGCAGCATTTCGTGATGAGAATATAGACACGCTGTGGAAACACTTCACTGACTGTTAGTTTGTCATTGGAAACATCTCTTCTTAACGTACATACTTCTCTATGTGTTTCTATGGTTCATGTTTCTTTTGGCAGTGAAAATATATCTTGTTTGTTTTGAAACAAAACATACACCAAACATAATTTTTATTTAAATTTTATTCATTTTAAAATTCATTCCTACTTGTGTTGGACATACATGATACTGCTCATGCAACACGTGTACATTTGATACCATGTACAATAAAGTAACAACATGTGTACAAGTGTGGCTGTGTGCCGTGTAGTTCTACTCCACAGTGGTTCATAGCGTACAGCATGGCACAGCAAGCCCGTCTTATTGCAGTATCTCACAACTATCTCCATCAGGCCTTTACCGAGGAGAAGATCATTACTGTGCAGGCCAGAAATACCTCTGTCACACCAACATCCTGACAGTCAAAACATGACCTGCTAAATTAACCCTGTCATCACAAATTCAGGGCTCGACGCCATGCAATAAGTCCACCATCGACCTGACTGAAAAACATGGTTTGAGTCACAAGATTTGGGGAGAAAAACAGTAGCCCTTCGATATTTTAACTTGTGGCAGTGTCTAACCCTGACCAATAGCTGGGTGTAGCTGTCAGTTTAAAGACATTACCTACTGGTTAAACAAAAGAATGCCCTTTTGTTTCGTACCAAAGGCTACAGCTGTCCCAGACAATGATGTGTTGACTCTCACATCATCAAGAATCATGTACAGTAATGCATACTGTAGACAAAGGACATACGAATACCAGCGGAATTATTTCTGACTGATCTTTGGTTACGTTGGCATTACACTCAAGGAAGCACCTTAAACTCTGAACACAACTGTGTTGATGTGTACTCACCACTTGGACTAATGGCAGAACAATGATTATTGGTAACTTAAAGGACAACAATATGAATGGACCCTCATAGAACGACTGCAGTTGACTCCCATTATTGCCAAGTCAAAGGCGAAACACTGGAGGTGAACAGGGGTAGATGTTATATGATGAATTCAAAGGGATCTTAACCAGTCCACAAACTAAATACTGATCACTAAATACTGAAAGGGGGTGAGGTCGAGGGCACTCAGCAATATTCCAGCCTGTAAATAATCGAGTCTGGACCACACAATCTAGTGATTGATATTGTGAGCAACGATCCACTCCAAAAGGGGTACGTTGACACGCCACCAACCAAGTCATCGAGTCTGGCCACCGCATCCATAAACTGTCGGTTGCTGATGACGCATTCTAAATCCTCATTGGGGGAGGGGGGAGAGACACATTTTACCCCGGGTCTACGGGTGGCTTGGGAAAATAAATGGATACAAGTATATTTAGGGAGCAGTTTCATTTGAAAAGTACTTCACAACTGGGCACACTGGATCCAAAATTTGCATGGAAAATAATGTTAGTTTACCATTCTTCAATGATATTTTCTAAGATGCGTCTTTTATATTCGGAGTTTACCATAAAGGTGAGTTTGAACCGGTGGGAGTGGAGATATAAGACCACGGGAGTCAACTGTATCATGCCTCAACTTGGTCAACAACATTCAACTTTCATATTGTCACAAATTCTGAAAACAATACACAATGAGTTTGGTCATTTTGACATGCATAGGAAAAAGACTCAGACAGAGCCCTGTGAAATTGCCCCAGAAATATGAATATTTTCTTTATTTTCTAGATTTAATTTCCCCCTTGAATATTACTCTTGAACAAGTTATTTCCATTTCCATGATGCTCAAAACAGATACTCATAATATGTCAAGTGTGTATTTAAACAGAATGACATATTTGACTATCCCTATCAAACTTTGAGTAATATATGACTTAAAAAAATAAAAGAATTGGTTCTCAGGCAATGGTTTTTGAAAATATTGTGGGGCAGGCGGTGTCTTTTTTGGGGGGTTGTGGGGGGTTGTTCAAACTAGTATGTAACCAGTAAACAATGTATTCCTTGATGAGTAAAATACTGGAATACAGTATTGGTCTACTGTTGGACTTGGAATATTTAAGGAAGTTTTTAAAAAAATAGAAAAAAAGAAGGAAATAAAAATGAAACGTGCAGCAAACTTTATGATGATGCAGGTGGTGCCTGAGAACCAAGACTATTATTTTTTTTAGCCTATATAACTCAAAAGTACATTCGATTATTTCATCATATTACTGGAGTTAACCTGTCATGGGATGACAGACTAACTATAGTAACATGAAATAATCTGATGTTCTTTAACTACTTTTGGGTAGTATGTATTAAAGGTGAGCACACATCATTGTATTCTATATCATGGGATGAACATCTCAACAAGCATCTTTCAACACATTATTAAACATTCAAAAGAAAATCTGCCAAAGAGTTAAAAGTACTTAAATAAAAAAATATTGGAAAAGTCTCTGTGTGTCAGAGTGATTAACGAAAACTGAAAGAAATTCCACATATGAAATTCCATTCCAAAAGTTTCGATGAAGCTGAACGAAAGATGTAGTTGTACTGATGTAATGGTAAATGCATCAAGTTGTCTGTAAATTCCTTGTATAGAACAGTTTTGACATGTCAGTCCAAGTCTGTGTAGACTCCGACACTGGAAGTCCTTCAGACAAAAAATAGGCTGTCCCCAATGGTAAAACAGATTCCAATAATAATGTTAAATAATTATCAATCATATATACATAGTACATAATTCTACAGAGAGACTACAAAACAAGATAATCAACATGTCACTAAATACTGAGTGCCATCATCAGCTTTCATCACAGTACAAAAAGCATTGTGATGTATACAGTGTGATTGTGAGGAAGTCAAACAGCTTGCTTAAAAGAGGATCAAATATCAGTCAAACAGATTACATGAAATTAAGATATAATATTGAGATCTATTTTGAAACAAATCCAAATATATTTCACATGTACTTGCAGTAAGTGTTAACAGTAAAAGTATTTGTAGTGTTCAACCTGCACAGGTGATTGACATATTGCAATACTTAGTGTTCTGTGGTTTCGGAGTACATGAGCAGGCAATAGGGAGATTGGCTACAATATAATATTATTGATATGTAAGTGGGTGATGAGCTTTTTCTTCACTACAGCCACTGAAATAGGGTAAGAGTTACCTGCCCCTGCTGTGTACAAAGAATTTAGCAAGGTCAAGGACCCTGCAGCAGTGTGGACAAAGGATGAGGACGTAAATGAGAATCTAGAGAATTATTTTTTATGAAATGTAATGGTGAATTTATGGATTTCAGCTTGATGTGGATTTTGGAATTCCATGTTAAGAAGCAAATCAAATTCTGACAACAAAGCAATATAGCTTTGAGACACATCATATAGAATGCCATGAAATCTCTATAGGGTATATGAACTACTCAAAAGACGTTAAGGATCATCCCAAAGCCATGACAGATTAACTTAAGTAATATGAAAGGATTGGGTGGTCCTTTACCTCTTTTGAGTAGTATATTAACCAAAATATGCCTGTACATGTGTTTTCCACCCTGCTCAATATCCTCATTGAAAGCACCAGAATTCTTCACAATGGAGGGCACAACGCCACCAAACACGCCCCTCCTCAAAACTGCTTCTGTTGAACCTAAAGAGCTTCTCTGCTAGCACCTGCTTCAGCACAAGTTTCACTTCATTCCTTCTCCAAAATAATATCATCACTGTCCAATCTTATGAATGAAAACAGTTCACAGCAAAAATAGCAAGTCCATTACACGTACAATGATTGTCATGATTAACTTGATTCCCCCTTCATTTCATAATTGCCAAATGTACAAACTGCCTACTGAAGAGGTGTGGTGTGGTGAGGACAATATCTTACATCCTACTATACATCTTAAGAAGCCCAATAACTGTCACATCAACATGATCACAAGAGACTAATTCACAACTATTCTGCAAAATAAATTCATTCAATGATCCTAATATTATTGTTGATAAATACATTGACATTTAATCATTCCGACAAAAGATATTTTTGTTCTTGGAACAGGTAGCCAACTAGGTGGCCATTTTTAGATGGAAACATGAAACTTTTATATTAAAGAAAAAATATACGTCTCAAAAGAACCTAACGAACACCCGATTCTTTCATATAACTATAGTTATTCTGACATGACATGACAGATTAATTAAAGTCATATGACAGAACTGGTGTTCTTTAACTTATTTTCAGTGGCATACAAAGTTGTCATTTGTTTACTGACAAGATAAGCAGGTATAGCTTTTCTATAGATTTCTATGTGAAGAAATATACGTAAACTTACAGATTATACAATGAAGCACTGACCTATCTAACTTCAGAAATTGCTTGCTTCATTCAGGTGGTGACTGAAAGCGTGTTCAGGAAGCAGTAAACAAGGGTAGTATTCCCAGTGAAGAGATACAGATTCTGTTACAATGTAATGCATCATGTCAAGTAGATACAGGCTTAACTTCATCTATCCATAATTCCTCGATCACTAAGCATATCAAACAAATAGTCCAATAAATAGTTTATACACAGAAATCTGGAGTAATAATGCTTGTTGATTCACAGAACAATGAAATCACCATGAAGAAAGCTCCTCAACTGAACTCTTCCCATTGTCCTAGCAGATCCTATGTACACACAGGGAGATGGGATCATATTGCACAATTCCCTAAGCACTTAAAACAACAAATTCATGTACAAAAGCAAAATAACATAACACAATAAAAGCAAAATCAAAACAACTCTCTTCCAATGTTTGACATACAAGTTGTTTCTAATCAATGCTCATGAGAAGCATTTCAATCACATCAAACGAATCTGTTTCAGGAGAAAATGAATAATGCTTTTGAGTTGGGCATGGCTTTGCACTAGTCCATCATGTATTGGTTACATGAAGATAATGACAACCATTTCGTGAAAATGGCTAAGAATACCTGACAGCATTTCTGTTCCCTTCGTGGAATGTCCAGTAGACTGTCCTTGGTGAGCTGTGAGTGAGCGAGGATGATTTTACAACGCTTTTAGCAATATTCCAGCAATATCACAGCAGGGGACACCTGAAATGTGCTTCACACATTGTACCTATGTCAGGAATCGAACCCGGCGTGATGAGCGAATGCTTTAACCACAAGGCTACCTGACCAGCCCTGGTGAGCTGTGGGAAAAAGCCTGCATGTTGCAACATGTGCCTGCCCCAACTGTCCTCATATGAATTGATGGAGACTGCATGACTATGCCAGTATCTATAAATGGGTGTGTGTGGGTTAACATTTAATGTTGCATTGGCATTATCTCAGACATATAGCGACAAGGTTTACACCTGGAGTATCGTGAACCATCACACTGGAACTAAGTAGAACAGTTAGACACATATGTAGTTGTAGCACTATGAATGGTGAGTGAGTGAGTTTGGTTTAACGCCGCTTTTAACAGTATTCCAGTTATATCACGGCATGTCTGCTTAATGTGGGAGGAAAGCCCGAAGTGATGCAGGTCTCAGACGTTTATCACTTCGGTGAAACCCACGAGCACGGGTACACTATGAATGGAGTGAGTTGTTGCATGCTGAAATTTAATGCTAGAACTTTAACTATACCACAAATCTGAATGGATTTTGTTAATATTGTATCAAACAATCCATATGCCCAGTATCCCAATAAACTGTCAAGTGTTGAGAGGAATATCTGAAGGTTGGTAGTTTGATAATTAAATAAGTTTTGGTTGGACTCAATGTAACGACTTTGATGTGGCTTTTGTTAACTGAATATAGAGATACATATATTGTATCTTGACAAAGGTTATCAAAAAGGGCCCTCATTTCAACTCGTCCAAGTGGCATTTCAAAATGCACCCACAGCACTACGACTGATGACACACCCATACTCTAACATACCCTTGGACAATCATCAAAGATTGAGTCAGTATGGTTTTACGCTGCTTTTAGCAATATTTCAGCAATATCATGGCGCAGGACACCAGAAATGGGGTTCACACATTGTACCAATGTGGGGAATTGAACCCGGGCCTGAGCGTGACAAATACACGCTTTTAACACTAGGCTACCCGACCGCCCCTCATAGCTCTAATATTGCTTTCATATCTTATACAAGCATGTTTGAGTCACCCTAGACACCTCCTCTGAACACACGGACATCCACATCACAGGATAATCATAGCTTCAAAGCTCATGGTCAGTCACACGACCTTGTCCATAATAACCATGAGCCTTACCCCCTCAAAACCCTACCCCTGATCCCAGCAAAAAAGAAGAATAATGCAAGCAAAAGAATAAAGAAAAATGCAAGTGAGAAAAACAACAACCCTTTAGACCATCAACAATTCAGAAAGAAAAGTAGCATAGGTAATTACGTCTTTGTAGTCCATACAAGTTGTTTGTTTCTATCAACCAAGTGGTCATATGTTGACAACAGCCGGCCTAAGTGGCAGGGTTATCATGGCAGGTGGGCACTGATGTAAAGAAATGTTGGATCATCAAAACAAATGAACACAAATAACTATTGATGGGAAAATACACATGCACTGAATTTGCGAAAACCTCAGGAAATCATGTACTGGTTTCATATCTTGGTATTAATTTGAGTGATTTAATAATAGACTGTCAAGGGTAATGTGCAGAAAATATGGTTTATGTACATATACTACTCAAAATAAGATAAGGACCACCATTTCTTTCCTATTATTATTGTTAATCTGTCATGGCATTACAGATTAACAATACCGGTAGTAATACATTGTAATATGAAAGAACTGGGTGGTCCTTAAGGGGCTGGTTCAAAAGTTTGATGTCAGATAAAAAAACTGAATTCCTTAAGTTTTGAGATATACCCCACTACTTCCCCTTAAAAGTTAATTCTGAAAATATTGCATTTCCAAGTTTGAAAATCATTTCGGAGGGTTTTTATAGATTAAATCTGTCATCATATATTACTATGGACTTACCACTGTTGCCAGTGATGACCAAACCTTGTGGAGAGACTGGATGTATATAACGCCCACTACAAACAGCATATGAATGAAAATAGGATTGGTTTAGTTTAGTTACTTTAAAAAAATTTAAGGAATCAGGTAAGTTGATTTTGTCAGATGGAATACTTGCATGGCCATTAAGCCCTGGTTATTAAGGAATTAAGTTTTTTATATGCTACCAAATTTTTGAACTGATCCCTAACATATTTTGAGTAGTACATATAATCCGTAATAACAGGAACCATGCAGAAGGTCTGCGTGTTACAAGATATAGATCATGCGGTCATAAAATCTTTAAACAGTAGGAAACGAATAGTATCAGTTACTGTCTTGGTGTAAACATAATAATATGCAACCAAGTCTGACTTGGGAAGAATTATCAGTTATCACACTGGGATATTCGCTGTCATGTTTTTATTCTCCTCCAATGGCAGATGAATCCAAGAGGATTTCTCTTCCTTCTTTGGTTAACCCTCTTTCCTTTAGGTATAAATAAACTGAACTCCAATCTTGGGGAAAAAAGGCATTTGGATTTAGAAACATGATGTTGGTTTAAACAACACAGAGCTGAGAATACTGCAAGCTAAGTACATTGTGAGCAGAACACACACCAGACCTGCTCGGAACAATGAAAGCACAAAGATCCTTCTCCTCCTGGGATGCAAGAAAAGTGCTGCTGTAGCATAGGAAGCATCAGTGAAAGCACTGCTGTCTTCAGGACAGTAGCAAGTATGTGAGATGCTATGAGCACGTGTTACTCCCTTCCAACAAACCAGTTAATCTGGCGTACTGTTTCTGGGGTGTGATATTCACTAGGCACCAATTGACATCACACCTAAGTTAGCAGACGAAAAGCTGGTGTGATGATATCACCAACACAGACTACAGACGAACAGACAGACTGGGTCACTCAGTTCTATGTCGCTGAGACTGTAATGGCTGAATACGATATCACTACAGTTTCAGATCAAATCAGTTCAAATGTTGTCTGCTATACACAAAAGCAGATGTATGGAAGCAGCCATGTTGGATCTCCCAACATTGACACAAAAAATGTTGTTTCTTCAGTGTTACACTCCGAGCTAAAGCCAGTTATAAAGTGTTGTTTGCTATTATAACAGATGTATGGAAGCAGCCATACTGGACAAACAAAGTGTCAACTCTTCCAAACATAACACTATGAGCTAAAGCAGCCCTGGTCCAAGTTTAGTGAGCGTTGCACTGAATGGCTACCTTCATCATAAACCTCCAGCACAAACACCCAGGTGATTTCACACAAGTCCTATCACATCATCTCCCATGGTCTTCAAATGCCAACATTCAGTCACAAGCCATCTTCCAATCCGACGCTGGTGAGATGAAGGTCCTGACAATGCCCATAGACATGGCAGATAGCTCTGTTATTCACCTATTGACCGATCACAAGTCTGCTGCTGCTGCTGTCTATAACACAGAGTCGTACGAGTTGAACACAGCCACTGGGAAATTCTTTATGTGTGTCTGCCATTGGGACGACAACTGGAAAAACTTCACACCTGGCCACTCCACCCCATCGATCAACACTGCAAATGATGAATAATATTTTGAGAAAAATGTCCCACAGAGATATTTGAAGGGTAAAGAGTTTTGTGTACAATTGTCATATATAACCTGGAAATGCAGGGCAGCCAAGTGGCTATCTGTATCTTCCTCAGCCCAAATTCCCAGATTCTCATCATGGGTACAAAGCATGAAGCCCATTTCTGGCTCTCTTCTTCGAGCGCCAGAAATTAATGAACATTTACAGGTTCGGTAGTCATTTTTATAGATTATGTCCCAAAATTTTGTATGTACATTAGGCGGAATTGTGTCATGAAACCAGAGAAAGACGTATCTTATATATTGCAGCCTTCCAGTATGTTGGCCGAAACATAACATGTTATGACAAATACGAACAAGTGAAAAACATAGCGAAAATAAATTTGTTATGTTTAATCAGACTGGTTGCTTACATCCCGGCATTCTGACAGCCCAATTTTCATTATGTTTTAATATGATCTGGTACTCCTCTCAAGAAAACATGCCGGCATAAGAATATGTTGTTCTGAAGTAACAATATCTTAGTTATCTGCAAAACTGTGAGGTCAGACACTGTATAGGAATATATCTTTTCATCATATAAATCACATCTCCCTTGGATTCAAAAGACATCAAACAATAATTCATTGCTATTCACATGGTTACAGATTCCCCTGCCATGGACACCTGGTGATTTTTATTTGAAGGTGGACTACAAACTACTTCAAGAGAAACTGTAGCATCAAATTTTGAAACACAAACATACCTTTCAGAGTATAATTCTGGCTCTTGGAAGTACAAATAAGACGACTGATACTGTCAATGTTTTGGCTTTTGGACTCAATTTCTTTGGCTTTCTTCCCGATCCTCATAACTGAAACATAAGTAACAAAAGAACAGGATAAATACTGCCATCAAAGTTGCAGATATCAAATTCTTGTATTAAGTACATACAACATTACATAAATAATTGTTCGTTTTTGTATTTGCTTAAAGGGCAAGTTCACACGGAAATTAACCTATTTTTCTTGTACTTTTTCCACATTAAAAGTGTTAATCTAGAAGTGTCATAGACAAAAATATAAAAATATCACAATTAATTAACATATTTTTCGCATTAAAACGATTTATATTTTTCACATTTACCAAGTGTTCTATTTCCATAACAAAAACACCATGGCTTATGCCCCTTGCAATATGACGTCATTGGTGCCAATTGATAAACATTATGACGTCATCATGCTTTGTTAGAGCCGCTTCACGTGGTGTAGGTCTAGGTGTGTGATTCTAGCGTTTCAGATGCCACCCAGCATAGTGTTATGCTGAGTCACCACTGCGCCGGAGTGTGTCGTAGGCCATGTTGTTTTACCGCAAACTGGTACTTGATATCTTTTGCGTTGAGAATAGACAGGGACCAAGTTGAATTGGCACCAATTACGTCATAATCTAAGGGGGATAACTCAGGCCTGTTTAGCTCGAAAAACGAAGGCCTCATAACGGCATATCATTTTCACACTATTGTGAGCTTCCTACTTTCACTGTGAAAAAAATGAGTGTATATTTTCAAACACAGATACTAATTAATTCTAAAATTGCGTTTTGTTTAGAAAAAGAAAGAAAGTGATTTTTGCGTGTACACTTCCCCTTTAATGCTGCACTAAGCAATATTCTAGGAATACACCAGTTGCCTGAAATTCATTGCTGGGGACCTGTTCTAGCCCAGAATCCCCACGGGGTAGTACTTGCACAAAATAAAGTGTCAACATAGCAGAACCAGTGTTTAGACAAAGTATGTTCAAGCCTGCATCATCTGTGACAACTCACTCTTCTGCTTTTTCTCACGGGTGACCACAACCATGCTGAAGGAGGAGGACGTCTGCTCGCCCTGGTACGGAAGACGACACACACTAAGGGAGCGGAATGCCGTCTTCAGGGAGCACTTGTTGCTCTCCTTCTTGCTGTCAGACTTGCTGGATGTTGTCCAGTAGTCCACCTGCAGGTCCATGAACTCTGCCGACGACAATTGACCGATGTTTGCATTTTGGCTGAAACCGAAAACAAGACATTCTCTAAAACTATTCAGACCTTATGCCTAAGATGTCTTTGAAAATGACTGTCTGTATGTCTCATATATTGAGACAATGTTCATATTGCAACATTAAATGTACTTTAACCATATGATAACTTCTTGCTATTGTTGTTGCAGTTGATTTCTCAGAAGGAAATAACATACAATGTATCAACCATAACATGGTTTAGTTGGAGAAATCAGAACTTGTTAATTTGACTTCCAGAATCAAATGAATCTCAAGACTTCAATTACAGATCACTCAGCATCAGCATTGGTCTTGTAATAGCAAATGTTTTACAGGAAAAGGAAATAATTATATCAGCTGTTAAACGCCTACCATGCCCCAGCTGCTGTTGTTCCCATCAATCAATTCAAATGATTAATTGTTGATTGCAGTTTCTAACCAAGGAATCTGCCATGCAATCTTTGATTATCTTCTAATTATATTACCAGAAATTCATTTCAAGGTATCTCAAGGCATGTTTAAGACACAACTTTACATCAAAGACAATGATTCAATAGAGTGAATCGGTGAATCAAACTTCCTTTCTTCCTCTCTCTCATACTTTCATCTCTAATACTGAGACACATATTGATGTTCAGAGCACTTGCATCCTCACTCAAGTGGAAACGTTATGCTCAGTCTGGGAGAGCTGGGTTTTACAGCAGACTGAGCTAGCAGCCCAAAGCAGACTTACATGAAATTAATAGATGCCCGGGCATATTGTTGACAAAATACAGTAGCAGTGTTAGAAATTGGCACTAATCCCATAATCCTTGCCAAACTGCCCAATAGTTAAGGTATCATAAGGACTAATATATAATTGCCATTTTTAAGGGTTTTGCTATATATTATCATTATAAGGACTAGTGGACCAAAAATGTTAGTTTCTACCGCTGCAAAATGTGTCAAGCATTGTCGTAGCCAGATTCAATTAACAGACAAGATCAGTCAATGGAACTTTTCAGAATGGTTTTGCATGGAAATTAGAGTTATCTGCCCCTGGTTGTATACATGCACATGGCAGGTTTGATCGTTTGAGGGAATTCTGGATGGGACAGTTTCTAGAAGACTGGCTATACCTAGAAGGCTGGCTGAAGGAGCGACAAGAGGGCTATTTGAGGCCTGTTGACCTGACTTGTTATTGATCTACTAGCCAAATGTGGTTTGGATACCTATCTGGAAACACTGAATTCTACAGCTTCCAACACTATTCTGGATTCAAGAACAGAGACAGGCCTGTTTCAAAACATTCCACAGTGACACAATTCTGTACATTCATGGGTGTACTAGCTATTAATTATAGGGCCTGTTACTAACTGCTTCTGCCAATTATTTGATTCATTGTATTGTCCTTAATATTGTAAACATGAAACTGTGTGTTTGAATATAATTAATTGATTATTCATTGAACTTGTGTAGTAATTCAGTTCTGTGCTTTCTGGGTTAACCCCTGTGTTTCAATTTGGAAATCTCCTCATAACACGTGTCAACACTTCCATCAACACTGGTGACCCACCTCCCTGATGGTGACATAGTGCTGATGTTGGGGACAGCCAGGTGGAGCCTGACCCTGGGCTTCTAGAGAGAAGCAATGACACTCATCACTGGATTAAACTGAGATGCATTAAGACTTCCATCAACACTGGTGACCCCCTCCCCCATGGAGACAAAGTGCTGATGTTGGGGGAGCTAGTGGGATCTGACCCTGGGCTTGTAGGGAGAAGCAATGGCACTCACCACTGGATTAAACTGAGACACATTAACACTTCTGTCAACACTGGTGACCCACCTCCCCCATGGAGACATAGTGCTGATGTTGGGGGAGCTAGTGGGATCTGACCCTGGGCTTGTAGGGAGAAGCAATGGCACTCGCCACTGGATTAAACTGAGACACATTAACACTTCTGTCAACACTGGTGACCCACCTCCCCCATTGAGACATAGTGCTGATGTTGGGGGAGCTAGTAGGATCTGACCCTGGGCTTGTAGGGAGAAGCAATGGCACTCGCCACTGGTCTAACCTGATGATCTTTTACATGACAACACTTGGTGACAACAGTGGTGACTCACCTCCCTGATGGAGACATTGTGCTGATGTTTGGGGAACTGGGTGGGGTCTGACCCTCACTGGCCTTGATAGCTATAGGAGCGGAGGCAGGGGGGGAACTTGACAGGCTGGGGGGACTGGTAGCACCTTCCTCAAGCTCAACTATGAAAGACAAAATAAAACCATTAGATGTCATAGCAACGTAAACTATCCCAACAACATGTATATAATCAAGCCTGGACCAGTCAAACCAGTGATTGATATGATATTATGAGCAACACCCTTTGCAATCAGGACATGATGACGCACAATCAACCATGTTACTGAGTCTGACCCCTCGATCCCATCGCGATATGGCTTCAATAATGCTGATGAGATGTAGAATTTTAACTCACTCACTCACTGACCCCTCGATCCATTAAGTTACCTCTTCTGATAAGCAAAAGTTGCTGAGGACCAGTTCTAACCAGAATCCCCATGGTAACACTGTTTCCCTCATGACTAAGTGGTGACTAGAACATTGATGTATTGTCAATGTATTCACATAAAAATAATTCTTGTCACGATGTATGGCTGAAAATTGCTGATGTGACAAACTATTAAATGACAAAATATACTAATGAAATGAAAGTTAAAGAACACCTGATTTTTTCTCAAGAGGAGAGTCAATCTGTCCTGTCCTCCATGACAGATCAACTATAGTCACATGTCAGTAATGTTACAACACCATACTCACCTGACATGCTAAACATTTCTGGGGTGCCGATCTTCACCTCCTAAAAAAACAAAACAGAATTTGTAGATTCCAGTTGATATTAAAAAAAAAATGTCATGTGATCTGACCTGAAAGACAGATCACATATCAGGTTATTTATTAAAGTCATTATATCTTGGCACCGTTCCACAAAGCAATCTTAGCGCTATGAATGTTGTAAGGCTATGGGAGTTACAATCATCTTAGTGCTAAGACTGCTGTTTGGAATGGATTCATCAGTGTTTATGGAAAGCACCATCCAACAATATTAAAGATTAGATTTCACCTGCAGTCTTGTGTATCTGTACCATCCCTGCCTCACACTTGTGCAAACACAAAACAAGGTCGCATGTAGGCCGTCATACTTGCCAATTACTCATGGAAATTCATATCTTGGATGCTATCTATACATGAATAAAATTGGAACTGCTGTATACACATCAGGGATGACAACTTGGAAGACGATGGCCTGAAACCAATGATTGCATACGCGACCTTGGGGTATATCAATACCCTTATAACTAGCAGAAAGTTACCCACTTTAGCTGCGACTCTGTTGAGAGCTGAGTTCACTTACACTTAGGAACGGGACAAACTTCTGTGAAGATTCCTCATCAGACCTGTGGAAACAATAACAGACATAGTGTAGAGTATGTAGATTATGGGATAGGGTAGTGTGGGTGTAGATGAGTGTAGGTTAGGTAGGTGTAGGTGGTTGAAGGTGGGTGAAGGTGGTTGAAGGTGGTTGAAGGTGGATGTAGGTGGTTGAAGGTGGTTGAAGGTGGGTGTAGGTGGGTTGGGGTGGGTATAGGTGGATGAAGGTGGGTGTAGGTGGGTGAAGGTGGGTGTAGGTGGGTGTAGGTGGTTGAAGGTGGTTGAAGGTGGGTGTAGGTGGGTTGGGGTGGGTATAGGTGGGTGAAGGTGGGTGTAGGTGGGTGTAGGTGGATGAAGGTGGGTGTAGGTGGGTGAAGGTGGGTGTAGGTGGATGTAGGTGGATGTAGGTGGATGAAGGTGGGTGTAGGTGGGTGACGGTGGGTGTAGGTCGGTGTAGGTGGTTGAAGGTGGTTGAAGGTGGGTGTAGGTGGGTGAAGGTGGGTGTAGGTGGGTGTAGGTGGATGAAGGTGGGTGTAGGTGGGTGAAGGTGGGTGTAGGTGGGTGTAGGTGGTTGAAGGTGGGTGTAGGTGGGTTGGGGTGGGTATAGGTGGGTGAAGGTGGGTGTAGGTGGGTGTAGGTGGATGAAGGTGGGTGTAGGCGGATGAAGGTGGGTGTAGGCGGGTGAAGGTGGGTGAAGGTGGGTGTAGGTGGATGTAGGTGGATGAAGGTGGGTGTAGGTGGGTGTAGGTGGATGAAGGTGGGTGTAGGTGGGTGTAGGTGGGTGTAGGTGGATGAAGGTGGGTGTAGGCGGATGAAGGTGGGTGTAGGTGGGTGAAGGTGGGTGTAGGTTCGGTGAAGGTGGGTGTAGGTGGGTATAGGTGGGTGAAGGTGGGTGTAGGTGGGTGTAGGTGGATGAAGGTGGGTGTAGGCGGATGAAGGTGGGTGTAGGTGGATGAAGGTGGGTGTAGGTGGGTGAAGGTGGGTGTAGGTGGGTGTAGTTGGATGTAGGTGGGTGTAGGTGGGTGTAGGTGGATGTAGGTGGATGTAGGAGGGTGAAGGTGGGTGTAGGTGGGTGTAGGTGGATGTAGGTGGGTTTAGGTGGATGAAGGTGGATGAAGGTTGGTGTGGGTGGGTGTAGGTGGGTGTAGGTGGTTGAAGGTGGTTGAAGGTGGTTGAAGGTGGGTGTAGGTGGGTGAAGGTGGGTGTAGGTGGGTGTAGGTGGATGAAGGTGGGTGTAGGTGGGTGAAGGTGGGTGTAGGTGGGTGTAGGTGGGTGTAGGTGGGTGAAGGTGGGTGTAGGTGGGTGTAGGTGGGTGTAGTTGGATGTAGGTGGGTGTAGGTTGGTGTAGGTGGATGTAGGTGGATGTAGGTGGGTGAAGGCGGGTGTAGGTGGGTGTAGTTGGATGTAGGTGGGTGTAGTTGGATGTAGGTGGATGTAGGTGGGTGTAGGTGGGTGTAGGTGGATGTAGGTGGATGTAGGTGGGTGAAGGCGGGTGTAGGTGGGTGTAGGTGGATGTAGGTGGGTTTAGGTGGATGAAGGTGGATGAAGGTGGATGAAGGTTGGTGTGGGATTGGTGTAGGTGGATGTAGGTGGATGTAGGTGGGTGAAGGTGGGTGTAGGTGGGTGAAGGTGGGTGTAGGTGGGTGTAGGTTGGTGTAGGTGGGTGTAGGTGGATGAAGGTGGATGAAGGTGGGTGTAGGTGGATGAAGGTGGGTGTAGGTGGGTGTAGGTGGATGAAGGTGGATGAAGGTGGGTGTAGGTGGATGAAGGTGGGTGTAGGTGGGTGAAGGTGGGTGTTGGTGGGTGAAGGTGGATGAAGATGGATGAAGGTGGATGAAGGTGGGTGTAGGTGGGTGAAGGTGGGTGTAGGTGGGTGTAGGTGGGTGAAGGTGGGTGTAGGTGGGTGTTGATGGGTGTAGGTGGGTGTAGGTGGGTGAAGGTGGGTGTAGGTGTGTCAGAGAACTTCCTCTCCTTGAAGTTCTTGGCTGAGTGTCTTAAGCTAAGGATCCATCAAATCTTTTACAATTATCGACACCAAAGTTCCCCTATTATTTAATGCTACATAAACATACTTGCATTTTTTATTGATAAACCAATTGTTGAAAAAAAACAACAACAACCAAAAACAGAATGAAACAATGTTTTTGAGGCCAGAATGAAAGCAGCATTAGAAATTGGCACTTGTCCTATAGTCCTTGTCAAACTGCCCAATAATTAAGGTATCATAAGGACTAGTAGAAATTTAGCTATGTATAGTAGACTTTGCTATGTTATCATTACAAGGACTAGTGGACTAAAACAGTAAGTTTCTACTGCTGGAACATGTTAGCAAAATATTAAATAAAATATAACAACAAATGTAACAATTTCAGTGACCAGTAGAGATAAAAAGAGACAACATACGTTTTGCCCTTGCACATAACCATGGCTTCTGCGATGGGCATCTGGTGGATGTTGGTAGATCCACTCAAGTATTTGGACACCCGGTTGATGATCTCTTGTGAATCTGCAAAAGGAAAATATCAACATAGCCAACTAAGCCTTATATTTATACCTTTTGTTTGTTGTTTGTTGCTTTATCTCTAGTCATCAATATTCAAGCTATTCAATGGCTGCCTGTAAATAATCATGTCTGGTCCAGACAAACCCGTGCTGGACACAGCTGATGTCCAGAGTTCCATGCGGCCGGCAGCCAGCTAGCATAGTACCTCTGCCACAGGCCAGCGCCATGTGACGATTCGTCACATCTTTCACAGTCCATTCAAGATATTGCATATGCTTTTCATCCCTTTCATGTTTGACAAGTCTACACATTTTCATAAACAAATGTCAAAGAATGGTTAACTTTCATTAAGAAAGTATGCAAATAAGTAAAAATCTCCTTATTTTTGCGTAGTTATCCTATGTTTACATTGGTTGTACGGCTCCACGTGCTGTCATCGAAGCCCAACGGAGAGCTAGCGACACGGTCACTTTGATGCATAAATATATATTGTCATGGAACTCACTATTGCAGTTGTAGTAGCATATCTATATAGTTATGCAAAACAATATGTAAAGCGCCCCAAAATACTTGCATTAGTCCGTTCTATACTGATTTCTGAAAAAGCGTGTTTGTTTACAAACAAGAGAAAAGCCTGTGGCAGTGGTGTTATGCTGAGTCACCACTGCGACGGAGTGTGGTCCTGTGCCACAAAGTGATCCTGGTGCTAAGGTGATCGTAACTCCCATAGACATAACAATCATAGTGCTATGATCACTTTGTGGAACAGGGCCCTGGAGTACGATGAACTGCAATCACAAAGAGTTATGATCCATTTGAGCTATGACAATTTGCATTATGACCTTTAGTAATGATCCATTTGAGTTATGACCCATTAGTTATGACCCATAAGTCATGACCCATTTGAGTATTGACCATTTGTTATGATCCAATTGTTATGACAATCAGTTATGACGCATTAGAGTTATGACCATCAGTTATGATCTATTAGTTATGACCATTAGTTATGACGCATTTGAGGTAAGATCCATTAGTTATGAGCCACTAGAGAGTCACATAGTCGCCTCTCACAACATGCATAGGTTCATGGAACCAACTTCTACCTAAAATCCATCAGGATGCAAACACTAATTATACAGCTGGAATAAATTGACATGACAGATTTTAACTGTTACACCACACAAATACTCACCCAGTGTGGGTTTCGTTGCATCTGTCTTGTCAAAGGTGTCCTTCCACAGGGAGTCGACAAACAGTTGTGCGTAGGTGCTGTCTATACTGGCAAGAAACTTCCCCACTAAACTACTACCTGCAAACACACACCAGCCACAGTCAGTCAGTTGTCATCTTTACATACAGTAACAGTTATAACAAACTCAAAGGGACCACCAATTTTTGTTCGTTATAACTGTAGTTCGTTTTATGCATATATACAGCTGGGACAAAAAACCAAGTTCATCATATCTGTCTGTTTGTTATAAGTGTGTTTGTTATAAACGTAGTTTACTGTACGTACACCACAGGAGTGTCCTAACTAATCTGTACAAGCCACAACTATAATTATCAAACAATAATAATTCCAAGAATACTACCTCTATTACATCAGGACACCCACCTCCCACAATTCATCTGTCTCCAGTGGTGAGATATGTTTTGGAAAGAAGTGACGTTTTTCCCTCCTTTTTGCACGGAAGAGCTGAAGAGCTACATGTGCTATTAGGGGAACAACTAGTTGTGTGTAGTTGACACTGAAGAGGACTTCTGTTGAAAATCTGAAGATTTAGTTATAGTGTGTCTGCAGCCAAAATACAGGATTTATGGCTATGATGTAATAGAGGCGAAGGATTCGCAGGAATTACAGCAAATACTTTTGTCCCATGAGTGGTCACCATTTTGGTCAGGTGCAGTAAATATATATGCTGACTAAGTACTGTAAAGTATACTGTTTTTAGTTGTGTGAAACTCTAGTGCTTCGTGAAACTTGTACATATTAGCATGACAGTCCTTAACAAACACTTGACTGCACAGTGTATATGAAATTATGCAATCTGCTTCAAAGATGAATGGTGGAGTTTGTGCCATGCTCTAAGATAGACAGAGAACTTGTGCCAGTACTTTGGTCTGTCAGGGCTTGGCTTTGTTCTTGTGACAGTATGTTTATATCCTGATAAAGTACTGGCAATCATCCTCTATTACTTACACTGGAAAAAAGTTGACGCTGAGAGTGACAAACTTGACAATATCTGCCCATAACAATCATCAGATGCTAACGGACCGGGTAAGTGTGATTTTAAGTCAGTATATGTTTACTTCTTTTATCAATATTCCTGCCATATAACAAGGACACCATGAATGGGCTTCACACGTTGCGCCCATGTGGGGAATCTAACCAGTCTTGATGAATGGAAGCAATAAACACAATGCCAACAAAAACAGAGTCATTAGACTTACCAAATGGAATGACTAGAAATTTTGTGTATGTCTGCCAGTCATGTGACTTGGAGGACAGTTGTTCCACATAGGGTCTGAGTACTGAGTTGATGTACGCGTCTCCACCAGCTACTCCAACCTTGATAGGGCTTGGACTCTTTGAGTTGCTGTTACAACTGAAAACACAAGGTCAGTCATCAAAAATTCTCAATACCATAGCATAACAATGTGAGTGAGCACACCATTTAGCAAAACCCAAGGCATATCATGGTTCGGGAATGAACTCCATGTATCACACTCATGGGCCTGTAGTTTCAAATCTGTATGGGTCCTTATGGCCTGCCATAAATGCACGTGTCGATTCATTTATAAGCTGCAGTTTTATTAATGAAGGCCTGAAGAGTTTAGTCAGGGCCTGTAGCTTCTAAGGCCTGTGGGTCCTGATGGCAGTCTGGCAATTTATTTTAGTTCAAACACTGAACTCGAGTATTCAACGTGAGGAGGGATTGCATTCACATTTTGCCTACACCAGTCTGGTTGAAGTAATGAGGGAATATTTTAGACACCTAACCTTCAAAGTGACAGTCTGTGCCAAAAACGTTGGAGTTTGACTCTTAGATTCATTTCCAGAAGATGTTTGTGTTGTAATATATGGAGTATTATTAGATGAGCTTATGAGGCCGACAGAACTCCAATTGTTATGACAAATGCTAAACTGATGCTTTAGCCGGCCAGAGCCTGGTTAACTCTCAGCTTATCTGATACTTACAACCTCTGTATCTTAGCAACTAGGAAGCTGATGGCAGCCTTCACGTCGGCATTTGAGCATGTGCAGATGAGACGCCATTGTTTCTCCTGAAGCTTCTGTACAAGGAGCTGGAAACAGAATGAGAAAGAATATGTTAAAGATCCTGCGGTGTAACTCCTTCTAATATACACTGATAATGTTCCAATGTCCTCATCCATAAGCCAGAAACTGAAGGCAATAATGGCATCACCCATTAGCCAGAAACTGAAGGTACAAATGTCCTCACCCATTAGCCAGAAACTAAACGCAATAATGGCATCACCCATTATCCAGAAACTGAAGGTACAAATGTCCTTAAACATCTGCGAGACAATAACAAAGTCTGAAAAATTCTATCCTTTTTTTAAACAGGCAAAATGCATTTTTCTAGCATTTCCGACAGTACTTTAATTTCATTACCCATTAGCCAGAATCTGGAGGTCCTGTGTAATCTTCTATTAGCCAGATACATTATATCTCCTGGGTATAACTTATTTTCTGATACACTGAAGGTCTCAACGTCATCACCTATGAGTAAGTTGCAGGTGATCACTTTGGCATATGTCATTTATCCAACGGTTGCATGTTCCTGTGTTATTGTCCACTTCTCACAGACTAACATACATTATTGTAACTTATCTGACATGCCTAGAAATGAAGACTGGTGCTGGTCAAAACATTCATAATTGTCGCATAAATCTAGTTTGTTTGTTGTTTAACTCACTCAGCAATATGTTATATATAATGTAATACTCATATATGTAACTGTGATGCGATGACAGGCACCAACCAAGTCAGTGAGTTTGACCACATGATAAATCTACCCTTAAACAAGCAGTACCTGTCCTTGCCACTCAGCAGCATTGATGAGGAAGACGCTTTCAGGCAGACGGTCGTCTCCATTCCCCAACACAGCACTGAGCTGATCAAGCAGAGCTTTCCTTGGCTGCAAACACACAACATCTCCATACAACATGGGAGTAGCAAAAAAACAGGACAACCCAACACCCTGCAAATGTAGCACAGCTCAAACAGAACTTAGACTTTAAATGCATAGATAATGTCAGATAAAAACCAATCAGATATTTACACACAAAAAATGTGTTTTTTCCTTCAGTAAACACTGAAAAAGCAAATTCTCTTTCACAAGGCCGAGCTGAAATATGAAACATGAAACATACCCTCAATACGAAAAACATTGAAACATTACAGTAATTGATGACCAAAGAAGAGTACATAGGGCTCTCGATATTGGTTACACGATAGAACATTAGTCTTAGATCTACATTTTAGGAGTGAGTGAGTGGGTTGGGGAGTAACGCCGCTTTAAACAGTCTTCCATTTATATCACGGCGTGTCAGCTTTATGTTGATGGAAAGAACGAAATCATACAGGCCTACAAGCACAAGTATGGTGCTGACAAACCTGGAAACATAATCAGGGTGAACCGTGATTTGAACCCACGATCATAGGTTCTTGCATGTCCAAGGGACACAACTCTGCATATATGCGGCACCTTAGATGACTGGGGCCCCCTCATGCCCCGATGAACCAAGAGTACATGGGGTTCTTGATATTGGTTACACCCCAGAACATTAGAAGTCTAAAAGACCTATGTTTTAGGAAGATGACATGTTAATATCTACAGACACAGGATACAATGTTGCCTGCAGTCCCATCACCAGGTGGGAGATTACATCAAGGACGCTGATAGGCTGCAAATAACTGATTCACCTTCACATCCTTACAAGGCCATACAGCATTACTTTCGTAAAAAATCAAAATACACTCTGAGAAACACCATATGGGTGGTGTGACACAGTATTTACAGACAATACATTGCTTAAGACAGCCTGTTTGAACAAACCAAAATACATTTCTGGACAAAATGAAAAAGTATGTCATTGCAGGACAGACAACAATGATTATATTCTCTTTATATACTACTCAAAAGAAGTTGAGGACCACCCGATTCTCTTATATTACTACTGTTAATCTGTCATGTTATGACTTCTTTTGAGCAGTATATAACATTCAAAGCGCTTCGGGGTTGTGTGTTATAGGCATCAGAAGATGCATACCCATACTGTGAGGATCAGAGATAGTACCTGTACACTTGTCACATGACAGTCACATGAGAATACCATGTACACAAACTACAGGTCACATGACATCCATGTGAAGAGTGTCACATGACAGTCACATGAGAATACCATTACACAACTTACTGTGCCAGAAGGAGAGTATCACATGACAAGAGTGTCTAGAGATGCATGACAGAGGATGCCATATCAGAGTGCCATATTAGAGTGTCGGCCACACATCATAAAACGTGATTTGATGATGGAGAGCTACATACCGGTACATACAGTTACACACAGAATATTTAACGCTTGATATTGCTTACACACAACATGCCCTGGTTTTTTTATACTTTCATATCATCAGACCTTACAAATCTTGATCATTAATATGCTTTTAAGTAAGAGGTTTCCCCATTAAACATTTTCTCTCAAGCATAGTTTGGTTCAAATAAACAAATTTGGTCTACTTGTGTGAAGGCTTCTGATCACAATGACAGCAATAATAAAAATTGATTTGCTGAACATAATAGGATAACTAAATACAGCTTGAAAACTTATCTAAAAGCACAGCCAGTCTTAGTTTTTTGTCATATCACTGTCCAAACAAGTACACATATTCCTTGAGATGGCCAAGTTTGGAACAAGGATGAGATGAACATTCTATGTGTTGGTAGTTGCTGGTAAACTGCCCCTCCATGAGAGATGAAGCATGCGGAGGTTGGAGATGACACACAGGGTGCTGCTACAGGTGTGATGTCTAGCTCCAACATTCTGTGATACATGGCTCTCTATCAAATATCCATGCAGAGCAGCTTTACTGCTTATAGAGAGCTCTTACACACTATAAGGTTTGGAGAAAGGAAAGTATGCATTCCTTATTAACCTTGGTTTCAAGAAAGTTATCAGTACAAATGTTTTCTGAATCTAAGGTAGAATTATTAATTATCAATACTTACAGAATGATGAAGAAATATTTCTAAAAGTTAAAACTGCAGTACAGTGCTATCATTAGTCCTCATGGCATCCTCAATGTTCAAAACAATAACATGGTATGACAGCTTAACTTCAGAAACAGAGTTAGAAATTGGCACTAGTCCTTTAGTCCTTGCCAAACTGACCAATAGTTAAGATATCAAAAGGACTAGTAGACATTTGCCATTTTTTAGGGTTTTGCTATATGTTATCATTATAAGGACTAGTGGACTAAAACAGTTAGTTTCTATCGCTGAGAAATATGACAGAATCCGGTGTTCTTTAACTTCTTTTGAGCTGTATACATACTTTAAGAAGCTATATAAAATCATTTCAGAAACTGTAACCTAACCTAACATAATCAAGAACAGTATCATTTTCTGTAGAGAAAGCAATGTTATAGAATTCCAGTATTAGATCCAAGATGACACCCAGTTATTGCAATTAGACAATTAAAAAAGAAACAAAATTATATAAAAATATATTCCCAACAGTAGCACATTGGTTGAAGTGGTGTAAATGGCTGGAGTCAATAGGAATGTTTCCTTCAAAAGATCATGCTTCTTGACAAAGAATAAATGCTGGCCTTATCACGTGAGGGACAAAGTGACTGTAGTCAACACTTTTCCAGCTACTGTATTTTGTCTGCAATACGCCTGGGCATCTATTGATTTCGTGTAAGCTGTTGACCTGACGTTGATTCTATTTAATGCTGGCACAGTGAAAACAGTCATTATTAAGTGAAACAGTGAGTGAGTGAGTATGGTTTTACGCCGCTTTTAAGAATTTAATATTCCAGCAAGATCACGGCAGGGGACCCCAGAAATGGGCTTCACATATTGTACCCATGCCGGGAATCGATTCCGGGTCTTTAGCTTGATGAGCGAACGCTTTAACCACTAGGCTACCCGACCGCCGCCTAAGTGAAACAGAGGAATCATTACATGCTGTAAGTTAATGTGAAAGGGATAAATAGGGATAATTAATTTCATCAATTGATGGAACCAGGTTTTATATTACTGGTATCAATAAGAGGCCTGCATGTATTTGATAGAGGACTATCTAATAGAGGACTATCTAATAGAGGAAATACAGTATATCACACCAGAAAGTATGCTATCAATTTTGGATTGGTGTTAATAGTTTTATTACTCCAGCATCTTTGTAAGAAGCAGTCTTTTTGAATACCCTTTCCATGACCCCACACAATTCGATATATATGAAGGGTAAATGGCTAAACTTTTCAAGTACATGTATCAGACAAAATTTAATTTTTTTATGAGTGGAACCATCAAGAAGTGAAGACATTAGATGAGATAAATATGAAATTTGACAAGAAAAGCTTAATCTTGCATCACTTTGTATTTTCTTACTGATCTACATCAATAAACATTGTCACTGAGGCAGACTAAAACTTGTTACAACATACAAATTCAGGTGAAATATTGATTTTTATAATACTGAACCAAAATATTTTGTTACAGTAAAAATTGAGCACACAATTTCATAAAAAAATATCCCAAAATATATTCATGATCCCTTACGTTTTTGTTCATTATATTTCAGGCAAATTTAATATTCATCACTAAATCCATAATAATGGAATTAATTAGTAGATCTGTTAATGAAAATACTATATAAGTGTTAAATTCCTAAAATTTTATCTTGACTTAAAATGCTGGACCAAAAATTGAAGTAATCTTGTAGTTCAGTGTTAGAATGGGAACACTGAAGTATAACTAGTGGTGCAACACTGTCACAGCAGAAATCATCATTGCTTTCACAGCTGTGTCCAAATCAGGCACCGTAATAAACAAACCAAGCTAAAGAAGCAATATATAGAAAGACTTAAAAAACAAAGAACATAATACTTAAATATTCTAAATATTACTATTTACCGTAATGGTAAAAAAATATATCTGGCATAGCATGTAACCGAAGCAACAATGTTGAAAATAACAGTACCGCAATACCCATACTCCTGGCACACAGAGCCTGTTTCCATTACCAGCTGACATACAGGGCAACAAGGCTGACCTCTACACTGCAACACCTCAACTATCCACACACCTCAACATACACAAAACTAGCCCTGGTCCCAAAAGCACAGTAGCTACATACACATTACTCAAACAGTTTTTGACACATGCCACCATTTTGGGGGAGGAAAACATTTCCAAATATTCCTGTCTACCCAACCCAGTTAAATTTTAAATATTCTGTTACATCAGAACATTTCATACCCCACACAAATAATGTTGATGGTTTGTTTCATGTTTTATGACTGGAATTACAAATCGTGACATCATTTAATTCCATAAAACACCATTTCTATTATAATAATCACCGAGCTGAACATTATAAATTGAAGTCTGATAATGATTCATTATGTTTTACTGTTTTAACTATTCCTCAAATAGTAATATATCACACAAATGCCTTGTATGATTTTTCATTTATAACGGAGCTGATAATTTAAGAAAGAGTTGCGTCATCTCTGTTTTTACCATAAAGACAAGTCTTGTAATCTTACAATCTGAAGTCCTAGGGTTAGTACCAAAACTCAAATTACTTTGATGAGGGTCATAATAGTGACTACACTCACAGATGAAACACGCCAGACATAAAGTGACCACAGTCAACTTTTCAACCCCTCACCAACAAACCTGGCCTTCACCTTGTGTCTGCTTCTGTACTAAAGACATTTCTTGTCACCACAGCCCAAGAAATAGGACTCACGTTGATACTTGTTTTCACAATCCCTTCCTATCCTCAGTTTCATATAAACTAAAATCAAACTTAACTACAAAACATGCATTTTTTTACAAATTAACATACAAAACTTGATTTCGGTTTCCTTCAGAATATTCACAGCTGCTGAACATGAAAGGAGTTGTCAGGAAACACTGATGTTAAGAGGGGATGATGTTAGGTCCACACAGAGATCACCACACATAGGGAGAGCCATGGCTGGCTGTATCTAGATACACAAACAATATACTCTCAATCTCATAGTCTTCATCCTTATCTGCTTTGCTTTATCACATCCCTGGTTAATTATTGTTTTTTTTATACCAAATTTCACACCATGATGCAAATGATACAGTTGTCATGCATTGAATGATAAAAGGGAGGTAACTCTGTTGAGCTTCCTGTAAAAATCGTTTATTCACTACCTGCAAGGAGTAAGAATTACAAACTGAAGTAAGTCATAACAACTGACGTGATGATGCACTTCATTGAAATAAGGTCATACTTATCCTGTGTTGACAGTCAAATGGTAAAAGCAAGCTATTCTATAAATCATTCAGATTGAGATCAAGACTGTAATTTTGAGGGTAACAGAGGTTAGATGTCAAACCGAGGCTACACTACAATGTCAGTAAGCATGTGCAGGTCAAGGTCGCATACAAAGCTTGTCATACAGCAGCACTGTGAGCATGACAGGAAGTCTACCAATAACTGACCGCGTCGTCCGAACCTCCAGCACTGTTGCGTCTCTCGATCATCTTGTGTTCCTTTTTGCTCTTTTTCTCGCGGTACGAGGTGCTCCGTTCCCGAACGAATCGCATGCCCCTGTGTTTTAGGAGTGGGGTAATGGTCTTGGGGGACGACTCACTGGGAGTCTGCGAATCAGATATTTCCACATCTTGCTCCTGGTTTGCACACACACGTAGAACCAACACAAGCAATGGAAGAGGAGCATGTCATGCAGGGAAACATACATCAGTAAGTCAACAATGTCACACAACGCAGCAGCCACTGCTACACAATCTCAGGCTGAAATACCTGAATGAGGCCACTTATCATCTACGGTACAATGTTAATGGATTAAGTTAGGAACACAGACATTTCAAAGCTTCAGGAATCAGAGGCAAAATATAAAATTATCATAAGAATTTTGCAGTCTATATAGAAATAATAAGTTAAGGACCGCATGATTTTTTTCATATTACTTGAGTAATATGAAACATTTGTGTGGTCCCTAACCTTTTTTAAGCATTATATTGTCGAAGTCAGCAATGAGTGATTGAGTATAGTTTTGTGCCGCTTTCAGCGACATTTAAGCAAAGTCAAGATGAGGACACCAGAAATGGGCTTCAGACATAGTGCCCATGTGGGGAATGGTACCTCTGCGTGAAAAGCAAATGCCTTAAGCACTAGGCTACCCCACCAACCCAAGTCAGCAATATCAGCTGAATCTGCAAGTTTAATCTGACCTGGATACCAAAAAACCTGGTGGTTGACAGCATGAACACCAAGATCTGATGATACACTAAATGAGAGATGGTATATATATATTCTACACTGCAACTTTGTCATAGTCAATCAAAATACACTTTGCCTTAAGGAACTGATTTTACTTACAGATAACATGCCTAAAACGAATTATGAATCAGTATTGCTGTGTAATCACAGAGTGAGTGAGTTAGGATTAATGCTGTTTTGAACAGTATTCCAGTTATATCACAGGGTGTCAGCTTGATGTGGGAGGTAAGGCTGAACTGATGCAGGCCTCAGACGTTTACCACTTTGGTGAAATCCTTGAGGACAAACCAACACATATAATCAGGGTAAATCAGGATTCGAACCAACAATCAGATTTCTTGAGTTTCCATGGGGATGCAACTCTGCAGAGCAAATTGCAACACATTGGGTGACTGGGCCACCCATGCCCCCGAAAGGACATGAAGTTTAAATTTGAAGAGCTGGTTTCCTGGGAAATAAGGAAGCTTAAAAATGATGCATATCAACATCAGGCACACAACTTCATGGCCACAAAACCATGTTATTTTTCAAGAAGCTATGAAATGTCTGGTGCTCCTACAATCTAAACCTTAAGTCTAGATATTCAATACTTGTAATGCATCACAGTACAATAGACAGCCACTATGCTGAAGCATTCAGTTCAACCCCTACAGGGCCCCATGCTAACCAGACTTTCTCTTTGGCTCTCTTCACACATTCAAAGGAATGGGAAATGAATTGACTAATCAAGAGTTAATACAAACATACAGGGGTTGATATACTGAGTTTACTATTAAAAAGTGTCTGCCTTAATGTGTGTCGGAAAAGGATGAACTTTCCTCTTCTCCATCAGATTAGGAAACAATGTTTAAGCTAACAAACTGATGACAGTTACAGTGATTGGCTCAGCAAGATATCACCCATGCCAATAGCCTGCAGCTATACCCCGACACAGACCCAGACAATACCGGTAACCATTATTATTACAAATACATACATAACACCCTCTGCTGTCTCAGGTTGTTATAAGCTTACTGATTTAAAGAGATTGTTGTTCATACAGTAATCAACCTAAAGAACACAACTTCCTTAAGGTAACATATCAAAATGAAATTCAATGAGTCACCCATATCTCAATAGACAGCTTTTGTGTCATTACTTTTGTACAGAGTGAGTACATATTGCTTAAGCAAATCAACAGAAACTCTGTGCACATATAATGTTAACAAATGTTCTTGGGATTTGGTGTCATACACTAACATGGCTTCCACTGAGGCCATATCTGTTTCTCGAACAGCCAATTAAATCTACACATGAAATATCCCATACAGCTTTAAAGAATGTTGTAAATCAAGATGACTGACAAAGAGGCCATCTTTAAATTCATCTAAGTAATCAAAGCTAAATCATTAACACTTATCTGATAAATACGATAACCAACCACAAGATCCCTTGTCTTGCCAAATGAGCAACACATTCTTTTATTCATGAGGAAAATAACAAACATTAAACTAAAAAAGCTCTAAATAAAGCAAGTATACTATTGGGGTGAATTATTTAGCCTTGACTTCATCTACATGTGAGTACTGCACAATGAAGACATCCAGGGAACCCTGTGGCATCTAATATGAAGAGAACACAACACCGGGGACTCTAGGACCAACCATGTACGAGACTGAGAGACAATACACCGAGCAGCACTCATACTTACAATGTTGCCATCGTTGTCGAGTCGTCGGGTCACGTTGTCATCACTCAGACGGAAGGATTCCTGCAATGTACAACAAATATCTTTGCACACAGAAATTCTAGAATCAAATTTAATTTCTTCGTGTTTTCAAGGACAAATGGAAGTCAAGGTCTTTTTGAATCAAATATAGTAATATACATATATATATATAAATTCACTTTAAAGTTTATGAAGTCTTTTAACAATCCTCTGTTTCATTACACTACTTTGGTGCGAACTATGAAATGAACCAGACACCATCTTGTTTTCTAGCAGACAAATCAATATTCTTCAATATTCGAGGTCAGTGTCAGTCGCATGATTTCGGGGTCTGCATTGAAATGTATTGTTTCATCACATGGTATGGATTAACCAATGGAATTGCAAGATTTTGAATAGAGATATAAAAACAATAATTATTTCACTTTGAACATCACATTTGGTACTGATACTTACATTTCTGCATGTCTCGGATACATTTTCCGTAATCTAACTTAATAAACCACCATGACTGTTGTTCTTGCAGTTGACTCTAATCCAGGAAATCACTGGTAATTTTGAATGTGCATTTAAAGCAGCAAAACTAACACAACTATAGGCCATTATGCAAAATGATAGAGAGATCATATATCAACCATAACATGGTTTGTGTCAAAGAAATCACTCACATCTGTAGGAGCTCGTTGATTCTACTTCTGTAATCATCAGATTCTCATGATCTCTATATTACTTTATCAGTATTTTTTGTTCCAGCTGTATTTCAATGCATGAATGCAGGCTTAATGTGGAGAGAAAAACCCAAAGTGATGCAGGCACTAGATGAAACTCACGGCTATTGTGCTGTTAAATGCTCCTAACCAGTGTGACTCTGGGATTCAAACCCATGATCTGCACATTCTGGCCAATCTAAGGGAAGCAACTCTGTGAAGTCAGAGAACTGCAGCACCTACATCGAAGCTACCCGTGCATTTACAATAACCTACCTGGGCCTTTGGTGTCGAGACATCTGATTCATGGGTGCTTCCTCTCCCAGTGAAGAAGGGTCTGCCAGAACAATGGTACAGGTCAATACACACTATACAAGTACAGATTTCAGTGTCTTGTCTTACATCACATGCAACTAGTTATCTGATTTATGGACGAGCTTTTAAAAGAGTGAGTCAGTTGTTGTACACTGCTGTCAGCAGTGACATTCTATCAAACCCACAGAAGCCTGTAAATAATTTGAGCCAAACTAGTGGTAGACATCATGAGCAATGACGCCAGCCATCTGAAGAATGTGTTGGGTACCTTGGAGTATTGTGCGCATTTCAAACATGCATCATATACACAATGAAACAGGCTGACCTAATACAGAGTGTTGTACAAATTGCGGCATTATCTGGTGTTCTTTATTGTGAATATTGTCCCTGAGCCTTTTGGTGTCCTTTTGTGTACACTGACATTTGTACACATTGTTCTGTGTTTCATATAGCATCTTTTCTTTGTTATCTGTATGATATCATATCAGGGTTGTTCATTGGTATTTGTTTTTTATCTTGGGTTCCTAATTCATATGCAAATAATGAACTTTAAGTGTAACAAGAAAATCTATATTCCAATCTCATTAAAATCAGATCTAAGTTCTCGCTACTGTTAAACAAAGATCTGAGGACATCCCATTACGGGTCACTGACCTTGCGCGAACTTTGACTGACCAAAGGAACGACTGACAAGAATTCGACATTAGCCAATCAGAAGGCTGCTTTCTCGTGCTTTACGGCACTAATTTCAAATTGGTGACTACGCTTCAAAACATATTGACAAATTCCCGATTAAAAATTTGAAATCTGAACAAAAGAACAGACTGGAATAGCCAATAGATGGTTGAGATTGTATGGATTCAGTCATTAAGCCCGTAACTATCGTTTGGAATACCTCGTGTTAAAGTTGTTGAGGTTGCATGATCAGAAATCACATTCCGACTGTCACTTTCATGATCTGGTAAGCGACGTTCTGATTGGTCGTATGAAGGTCGTTCTGACATAACGCCTAATGGGATGTCCTCAGATCTTTGTTAAGCGGAAGCGATAAATAAGATCTGATTTTAATGAGATTGAACTGTATTCTTAACATTCGACCATTACTGCATACCGGAGTCATATTTTAGACCGAATGGCCACCAATGGCACATGTTAGTGTGCCAACCCATGAACTTGGGCAATGGCTGATGCTTACAGACTGGGACAACATTGAGGGGGTTCTCACTGTGCTCAGCAAGACCTTAGGTAATATTTTTTCCTACAAATTCATCATTGAGCATCCCCGTCTTACCTGAGTCTTGGTTTTGGTGTGGACATGACACTCATAGTGTCCATTTCAGGGCCGCTATCACTCATGTCATCCCACTGCTCAAGTAGGTCGTCGATGTCACCGGGTGTGTTGTCGGGGTCGTTCAGGTCATGGTCTGCTTCCGAGTCCAATACCTACAACACAAAGATTTGTTGGTTTGTTGATTAATGGCGCACTCAGCAATATTCCATATATATGACAGCGGTCTGTAAATAATCAAACCAGACTGTCCAGTGGTTTACGTCATGAGCATCGATCTACGCAAATGGGATATGATGATATGCATCAACCAAGTCAGCGAGCCAGACCAACAAGCATAGTTGCTAGTTACGGCAAGCATGGATTGCTGAAGATTTATTCTAACCCGGATCTTCATGGGTCTACAACACAAGTGAAAAAATGGTTATCTAATGATTCCAATTCTTTCACACTTACACAGTCTTACAAGAAGTATAGAATACTGGGGACGGAACTATTCCAGGGTTGGTAAACATTTGTCCTCACCGAATTCGAGGCCTTTTCAAGGCTTTTTCAAGGCATTTGTAGTCAAAGTCAAGGCAAATAAATAATGTGACGTAAAATAAAGGGATGCAACTCGTCCTAGATTGCAATCACATTCATTTGTTAGAACACTCGTTATTCAAGCAATCATCATGGAAACAAGGTATGCAAAATCAGCAATAAAGTTTCAATTACTCATTATCAAGTAGCATTATTGCACACATTCGCAGACATTCACAAACACATTTGTACTTCAATGATAAAGGGTAAAACAAAATTGATGTGTAGTTAGGGTGTGACTAACAGTCTTTTCAACTCAAGGCCAGATCACAACAACTTGCTATGGAACAGAAGAACCTGTACAATACTGGTCCAAGGGGATGCAACTTATCCGGAAACATTTCCTTGTATATGGAAAAATATCTGCAGAGACCACCTACGCAAGCTGAAATTCTGCTTACCCTTAAGACTTTGCAAACTGACTCGGTGTGCCAATTTGCATCCCGGGGCCCCGCTCCACAAAGCGATCATTGACTGTTTGTGGAACGGGGCCAAGATTAGGGATTAATGAATTTCTGGATGGTTTCCCCAAAAGGTCTGGAGTTTCACAGCACATTAAGTACAAATAGGCTAAGATTTCGTTTTGGGTATCAACTTACATCTTCTGCTGACACCTTGAACTTCTTCAGTAAAGCTATGAACCTCTGTTTAATATTCCGTTGCTGAAAGTAGATGATTAGCATAAGGAAAGTTCTCCAACACAAAGTCATAGTCAATGGTTTCAAGATATCTGGTCTGCTTCATTTCTATTTGTGCTGAAGTATCTTTTTGATTCACAAATATAAAGTATCTATATTTGTGTACACTGCCTAATATACTGACCCAGGCATGGGTCCCTTGTTATTAAATATTGCTCTGTCATTGTGGTATACTCCATATGTAAGGCTATAAAGATGAATCGAATGTCACAACTTGATCACTTCAGTGCAATAAATATAAGAACCCCAAATAAAAATCAGCTTTGATAGAAGAATTATGGTTATGTTTATGTGTCAAGTGTTCTAATCTCTTAACTTGACAAAAAGATGCATGCCTCTTCCATGTGAGTGTTATATAACCCCTTGAACGAGCTGATTAGGTCTTACCCTAGAGGTAACCGGTCGTATCTTGCTGCGACTGGTTTTCCTAGGTCTGGGTCGGCCATCTTCCTCCAGCATCATTGGCTCACAGTCACTCATCTCATCGTTGGAGGAGAAGTCCTGGTCATTGAAGTCATGGACGTCCTCTTCATCAGAGTCATTGTCAACATCCGGGGAGCGGTCTGAAATGAAACAGACCTTTTAGATAATGCAAACAGGTATCAGTCTGCAGTAAAACAACATTTCCACAATGCCAACAGGTATCAGTCTGCAGTAAAACAACATTTCCACAATGCCAACAGGTATCAGTCTGTTGTAAAACAACATTTCCACGAAGCCAACAGGTATCAGTCTGTAGTAAAACAACATTTCCACGAAGCCAACGGGTATCAGTCTGCAGTAAACCAACATTTCAATTATGCCAACGGGTATCAGTCTGCAGTAAACTAACATTTCAATTATGCCAACAGGTATCTGTCTGTAGTAAAACAACATTTCCATGAAGCCAACAGGTATCAGTCTGCAGTAAACCAACATTTCCACAATGCCAACAGGTATCAGTCTGTAGTAAAACAACATTTCCACGAAGCCAACAGGTATCAGTCTGCAGTAAAACAACATTTCCACGAAGCCAACGGGTATCAGTCTGCAGTAAACCAACATTTCAATTATGCCAACAGGTACCAGTCTGCAGTAAAACAACATTTCCACAATGCCAACAGGTATCAGTCTGCAGTAAAACAACATTTCCACAATATGAATTATTTTAAAGTTTTATCCAGAATTATTCAACTTGTTTAATCAGACATTCTGTTGAGATATTTGTATAATTGCTCAATTACCTTGTGACACAAATGTTTTTGATCACAAAGAAAAATAAAACATACATAAATCAGAAACAGCATACAGTCTCAAACTGAAATTGGACATGTATAGAAATACAAAGATTATGGTGAGTTATGTTAAATCACGAATATAAAATGTCACCTTCAGTGGTGAAATAGATCAGCTACCACAAACCTTGGAAACATCTGATGACAAGTGACAAATGGGAGCAGAAGATTGTCTAGGGATGAAGCTTATTAAGTGTGATATGAGGGATGCAAGGACTCCCTGACAGACGAACACACAGGTTACCTCCTGTCACTGCCAGTTCAAGCTGGAACAGTACCATAATGCTCACTGCTGGAGTGCCACTGTGCCACAGTACCATAATGCTCACTGCTGGGGTGCCACGGTGCCACAGTACCATAATGCTCACTGCTGGAGTGACACTGTGCCACAGTACCATGATGCTCACAGCTGGAGTGACACTGTGCCACAGTACCATCATGCTCACTGCTGGAGTGACACTGTGCCACAGTACCATAATGCTCACTGCTGGAGTGACACTGTGCCACAGTACCATAATGCTCACTGCTGGAGTGACAATGTGCCACAATACCATCATGCTCACTGCTGGAGTGACACTGTGCCACAGTACCATCATGCTCACTGCTGGAGTGACACTGTGCCACAGTACCATCATGCTCACTGCTGGAGTGCCACTGTGCCACAGTACCATAATGCTCACTGCTGGAGTGACACTGTGCCACAGTACCATAATGCTCACTGCTGGAGTGACACTGTGCCACAGTACCATGATGCTCACTGCTGGAGTGACACTGTGCCACAGTACCATAATGCTCACTGCTGGAGTGACACTGTGCCACAGTACCATAATGCTCACTGCTGGAGTGACACTGTGCCACAGTACCATAATGCTCACTGCAGGAGTGACAATGTGCCACAATACCATCATGCTCACTGCTGGAGTGACACTGTGCCACAGTACCATCATGCTCACTGCTGGAGTGACACTGTGCCACAGTACCATCATGCTCACTGCTGGAGTGACACTGTGCCACAGTACCATAATGCTCAGTGCTGGAGTGACACTGTGCCACAGTACCATGATGCTCACTGCTGGAGTGACACTGTGCCACAGTACCATGATGCTCACTGCTGGAGTGACACTGTGCCACAGTACCATAATGCTCACTGCTGGAGTGACACTGTGCCACAGTACCATCATGCTCACTGCTGGAGTGACACTGTGCCACAGTACCATCATGCTCACTGCTGGAGTGACACTGTGCCACAGTACCATAATGCTCAGTGCTGGAGTGACACTGTGCCACAGTACCATAATGCTCACTGCTGGAGTGACACTGTGCCACAGTAATGCTGGCTGCAGGTTTGACATAGTACCACATGCTTTCAACTCAGTTACCACCAGCATTCAAGGACTTTTCAAGGTCATTCTCCGTATTTAAAAAATTAATGATCTGTCAAAACTGAGAATACACACTTCAACGAAAACATTCAAATACAAAACTTGATTAAATATATCACAGTTGTCTCTCACTTGATTCTATCAAACTATCAGTGCATTGCAAGGTGTTTGCCTTACAATTGTATTATATCGATAAGAATTTAAAAACACCAATAGTATGCATATCAATCAATAGTTTCAAAAGTTGCAAATAAAACAAAAGAAATGTGTCAGAAAACCTGCCAGGTGTTGATTAGCAAGGATTACGATAACTTCAGATTAGAGTTACTTCCCGTTGGGTTGAGTAGCGACAGGGAGGGACATGGTTGCCTTGACATTGTCAGCAATACCTTGATTACATCTTTACATTGATTAATAAAGTTATCAAACCTTAAAGTTGGTTGACAACTATGGCGATACAACTGCAATAGTGTGGGGGTACTATTGCAATGGTGAACATAGCCCCAATGGTGAGTTGGTCACCCCTTCTAGTTACTGACCACATACCAACGCATAATACAGAATCTACTCATAAGGGTACACAAATTGACCATTCCATTCACATGTGCCTCCATGTTGAAGACATTTCAAACAACAATGCTGCCATGGATTCTACACTATAAGTAAGAGCCAACATTATGACAATCTGAACCCTTACCACTTGTCTTGAGGAATCTTAATGACAAAAGGGTAGGCTGCAGGATTAAGGGTTACTGCATCTATAGACCTTGTTGAAAAGTAATATATTTGAAAGCCAGCATTTGAAATAGCTCTACCGTGGCTAATGAAATTATAAATGGGAATTTGGTATGTAAACGGCTATAACCCAGTTAGATTTGCACAAATCTCTAAGGCAATAATTATTAATTAAATCCGTAATTCCTAGATCATTACCAAAAGAACAAGTTGTCACTGTAAAGACTGGCATACTGTCTGTTTTAATGAGACTTGCCTATTATAAGGATAGAATTACTATACACCAATGGACATTCAAGGGACTTGGAGCAAGGCTAGAGTCAGGACTGCCAAGCATTATCTCCACCTGATGAGGCACCTTGACAAGCACCTACAAGTAAACAATCTAGAGGCCATCTTAGTTCCATTACCACAATGTGTTTTAATCTGATCACAGATTCAGTCAAGTGCCAGAATAGCACTCACGACATTCCTGGTTCTGGAAGCAGATGTCGGCTCTCGCATTCCCCTATCAAACATTCTGAGATAATGCACTTGAACAGCCTTGACACTGCTCCCACAGATGTACAGGAGGCAGCAGATGCATCTTGGGTAATCTCCGCAACACACACCTTGATAGTGTGCAGACAAACGCACTGTGTCAATATTGGAAAGAGACAAATGTTTGTCTGTTGTACTGGATGAGGGTGAAAGTGAAGCATTACTCTGACACAAACACTAGCCTCTGTTTTAACACAGCTACAGATTAGAGGGACAAGGTCAAACAGCACAGGAGACCTAAAAACGAACAAAATCTAGACCTCTTGATTTAAGTGCATAAGTGAGTCAGTGCATGAGTGAGTGAGAGAGAGCACGAGTGAGTGAGTGAGAGCATGAGCGAGTGAGTGAGAATTTAATGCTGCATTCGGCAATATTCCCGCTAAATATCAAGGTGGCCTGTAAATAACCAGATAAACCATTAACTGAAGCATGAGCACCAATCCACACCCTCAGGTCACGATGACATGCAGTCAGCCAAGTTAGAGAAGCTGATCACTTCTTGAACTGGCAAGCATGGAACATGAAGTACTCTGGTAGGACACATTAGCATGGGTATGGTGCTGACAAATCAAATATTATAATCTGGTATTTGAACTAATGATCAGGAAATCCTGGCATGGCTAAGAGATGTAACTCTGCACAGTGAATTTGCATCCATCTGCGTCCCTTGGGAGAACCATGTGAGCCAAAATATAGTAGAGGACACACCAGGGGTATAACACAGGATCAAGGATAGTGGGAATGATAAGCTCACAATAAATTCACTCTGGCCTTATTAATGGCATTAGTCATTGGTGAAAAGAACATACAGCAAAAGAACAAGAGGTGGTTAGAAGTAGTTCATGATACCTTCCTGCTTTATGCCAGCAAATGCAATATAAGAAAAATACATGACAAAACTATGAGTCAATCAGATTGATGTTTATGCAGCTATTCATTTAAACCAGTTGGTATTAATTTGCGTAACTTATTTTTGATGGACTTTATTGACCAGAGTTTATGAGTTAACATAAAACTACCCCAATGACATACTTCATCTTCTTCATTTTTACATGGAAACCCCTACATGTTTTTTCACTGTGACACATCATATCAAACTGAACGAAGAATTGTCAACAGTAGGATCAAATTATGCTCACAGGTCAAAGAAATATGCTGCATATATCACACCGAGTTACAAACAAGTTATTGATATACCAGTACCAATCCAAGCCATATTTTACTGGTCAGTATCTGGAATATACCGGAGAACACAAACACTACATTGGTGTCAACATTGGTGTCTGGGGGGCACTCTTTTATAATTCTAACATCACAAACCCTATTTCAAATCTAGGGCTGGGGCGAATCCAAATTTACTACACGGGTACGCAAACCCCCATTACCTGACCCTACCTGAGTACCTGCTGTAAGTCTTAACAGTTGGGTACAAAATTCCCGATTGAGAATTGTTTGAACGGAGCTCTGGCAAAAAGTATTTAGATACACTTATAAAATTATCTGGTCATGTATACACTGAATTTGACTGAAGCTTTATCGTTATTCAAACAGATAAAAGTCAAAAGCAACGCATGAATTGTCAGAAAGAAATGCTAAGATTAGCAACTTGTAGTGTAACCATGGAGTTCACGT